GGTGAAAGAGGTTCTCATCTTCTGTCAGACAGGAAGCAGACCGTGAGGACCAGACATACCCCGGTGACCTACTTTGTCCAACTAGGCCCTATTTTCTAAGGGCTCCGAGACCTCTTAAAGTAGCACCACCAAGGGGGACCAAACACTCAACACGGGGGCTGTGGGAAAAATTTCACATTTTATAGTCAAACCATAACACGCACATGCTTGCGTGTGTGTGTGTACACACACACACACACACACACACACACACACACGAGACAGACATCACGTTGCTACGTGGTTTTTCCAAATGGCCACTGTAATTCCTCATCTTTTCTTCAATCTGTTTAAAGCAGTAAAAACAAAAGAAGCTAGGTATGACTCAAGGCGTGTTGTAGCCCTCCGTGAATCCCTGCAAAGCCTTCCTTTGGCTATCATTCTAAGGGCTGAAATTCTCTCCAATGCTTTAAGGGATTGTTTTTTCTCTGATATTGCTTAAAACCATTTTTTCCTTAATATCAGAGCCTTCTTCCCTCCTTCCCTTTGCCAGCCTCCCTTCTTCTATGTCGGTCTCTTCCTGGAATTCCTCCCTGGCCTCCCCCACCCCTTGGCACCAGTACTTGAGGGAGTGGCTATACGTTTCCATCCACGGTGCATCTACCTTGGGGATAGGTCCAAGGTCAAACTCACTTCCCCACCTACAAGGAGAGCCAGGCAGTCTTCTCTCAACTTTGTTTATATATTAAATACACGAGAACATTCTTCACTTCTACAAAGAAATAAGCTACAGGAGGTCCGCCTTGAAAGAGAGGGCCCTGGCCTTTGCCTTCCATTGTCAGAATCTTGACAGCGATAGGAATGCAAGAACCATTTCCTGTTCCTCCTAAGCCTCTTCTAACCTCAGTGGGTGACAGGGAAGCTTTGTCATATCAGTCATGACAATAAACTTTAAGAGGGCCAGACCATGGGACCAGCCCACTGTTGCTAGAGCTGACCTTTCAGAAGGCAGAAATTCTGATACTTCTGTGAAAAGACATGTTGATCAAATGTGAACAGTTATTTTAAAAGAACTCAAGCATTTCAAAACCTAAAGCAAACAGATTTCTTGCCAAGGTGTGGACCCCTGGCATTGTAAAGCTGGGCAGATTTACCTTCACCTTCCTGTATTTGATTAATTTACAACACACAGTTATGTGATTATGTCTTTGCTAGAGATCAATCATTTGTTTCTGTAGCCATTCTCCATATTGATGATGTATCCTGCTTTTGAGACTATCTCTGTAATACATGGTTAATTGGGCCTTAAAGTCAAACTACTCCTTCAGTTTTCCTTTCTGCTATAGAAAATGTTACAATATAGTGCTTTTAAAATCAAAGCCAGAGTACATTCAGAGGTTAAATTACATTCTATTTAAAGAGTTTCCTATAGCATCACTAGTCACCATAGTCTAATCATGGAGTCAGCCTAGGTGCCCAACAACTGATGAATGGATAAAGAAAATATAGTATAGACACACGATGCAGTATTATTCACCCATAAGGAAGAATGAAATTATGTGGTTTGAGATAAACACATGGAACTGAAGATTATGTTTTGCATGTTATACCAGACTTAGAAAGACTAATATCGCATGCTTTTTCTCAAACGCAGAATTTATATCTAACAACAACAAAAAAGAATATCATGAATGTAAAACACGGACTGTTTGGGGGTTGGAAGCGTGCAGTGGGAGAGGGAGAGGAAAGGTGGAGAGGGGTAGGAGAATGAATACGATCAAAGTGCTTTGTAAGCATATCTGAAAAGAGAATAAAAATTGTTTAAAATTTTGTTTTAAAAAGAGGTACCACTGGCTCTCATCTGTAGTGTTAGCTACGTGGGAGGCTAAGAAAGGTAGAGTCACAGTTTGAGGCCAGCCTCGACATACATGAGAAATCCCAACCAGTAACTGAGTGCGGTGGCATTCACCTATCATCCTCAACTATGTGGGAGGTAGACCTTGAGAGGGTTACAGGTCCAGGCCAGTCAGGGCTAAAGCCTCAAGATCTTATTGCAATAGAAGAAGCTGGGTGTGGTGGCATGTACCTGTCACCTCTGCTACAACAGGAAGCAAAAAGTCAGGATTGAGAAACCACAAACAGGACTCTATCTCAAAAGTAAAAGCGGAGCTAGAGATGTAGCTTAGCAACAGAATTCTGATCTAGCCAAGCACAGGCAGTTCAAACCTTACTACTTGCTCCTCTACCAAAAAAAAAAAAAGAAGGTTAAAATCATTTAAAGGGAGAGGGAGAAAGTAAAAATATGAAGGGGATGAATGTGCTTGGTCAAAATACATTAAATGCATCTATGGAAATGTTACAATGAAACCTTTTGTAAACACATATGTTAAAATTAATGAAGTAGATAAATATTTTCTAGAAATTTTGTCAGTAATATTACTGCCGTGGATAACTGGATAGCATTCCTAGCATGCACACACGCATGCGCGTGCATTCACACATACACACACACACAGCAGACCCCACGCACATTGCTCTAATTACAATTTGTGAATCACTGCTCCCAAGGCTGCCATCTACCTTCTTAAATCTGAAATCTCCTCCAGAGGATTTTCCTTCCTCTGAACTCCAATTGCACTCTCCACCCAAGCATACGCCCTGCATTATATAATCTGGCATATAATCTGTCCTCTCTGTGAGCACATAAAATGTCTCTCTATTCTATCACCAGCCCCCAGCACAGGGTCCAGCACATAGTAGGGGAAAGACGAGTTATTTAAGAACCATTATCAGCATCCAAATAATAGCTACCATTTCCAGCCACTTCTTATGTGCCAAGGAGCGCAGGCTTCCCTCCATCAGACCACACAATCCAAAGCAGATTTAGCAATCATTCTCTAGTACATAACCTAATTGTATTTCTCTGAATTGGGCTTGTGGCTTTCTAACATATTTTTTTTTCAATTGTTATTGTAAGGTTGATTTGCAGAGGGGTTACAGTTACATTAGTCAGGGAATGAACACATTTCTTCGTAAACAATGTCACCCCTTCCCTTGTTTTCCTTCACGACCCCCCCCCACAGTTGTATAGTTCATTTTCAACACGGTGTCTAGTGTCACTGCTGCATTTGTTCACCCTTTGCCCCACCATTTCTATGCCCCCCATTCTCTCCACAACAGATAAACTTACACACAAGATAAAAGGTACAGAAAACAAAAACAAGTAGAAAATAAGAAGAAAAAAACAAAATAAAAAAAACGCTCTTGTTTCCATTTTTGGGAGTTCATTTCAATAAATATCATTTTACATGATCATACACACTTGACTATTTGAGTCTCTGAGATCCTAAGAATACCCCCCTTTGGTCTCACTGTGTGAATGCCTAGAGTCCCTTATAATTGATCATGTTCAAGTGTATTTTTTAGTCTTTTACAATCCAGTGTGTTTACTTGTAGATTTATAGGCACATTCTAGACACAACAAATGAGGAAAACTATGCAACCTATGTTTCTTTGAGTCTGACTTACTTCACTTAATATACATTTTTCCACCTCTTTCCATTTCCTTACGAAGGTACAACATCATTCTTTCTGATGGCAGTGTACAACTGTGTAGAATTTCATATATCATGGAAATATAGATAACGACAGACCACTTTTTCTTGAACCATTCGTCCATGGAGGGGCCTCTAGTCTAACATATTCTTGTGTGATCGTGTACATATTGCCTGCTCCTTTCCCCCTAGAATGAAGAGAACTTGCAGAGCACCCATCCTGTCTACCAAGCGCTGGGCACCTAGGAAGTACAAGGATCTAAACTTCTCATCTCCTCAGGTGAAAGCCGACTTGCATACAGTTGACCACCAAAAACAATTTTTTTAATGTTTCGGTTTACTAAATTTAAATTTCAAGATAACAGTGCTGATTGGGGGGGGGGGGACTGTAGGGTCTGAACTCTGGGCCTGGGCTCTGTCCCTGCGCTCTTCAGCTCAAGGCCAGCGCTCTACCACTTGAGCCACAACACCACTTCCGGTTTTCTGGCGGTTTATTGGAGATTAGCCTCACGGACTTTCCTGCCTGGGCTGGCTTTGAACCGCGATCCTTAGATCTCAGCCTCCTGAGTAGCTAGGCTGACGGGCGTGAGCCACGGCGCCCGGCTTTGTGCAGAATGTCTCCCAGTTCGTAAGGAACTCGTCCTGACATTGTACTGCCATTGCTACGGGGGCTTTCGCTGCAACAAGAAAACCACTTCCTCTGACGGGCAGTCCCACACCGTGGGCCTGGCCACATCCGACCCACAGACTGACGGACGGACGGGGGGTCCCCGAGCCCCTCCGCAGGGGCCGCGAGCGGTGCGCGGGGAATCGGAGGATCCACGCCACGCCGCGAGCGCCCGCGGGCACCCCGCGAGCCTCAGGCCTGGGGCTCCCGGCCTCCTACGGCGCTCCGCTTCCTTTGCTCCCTAAATCCCATCAGCCCCGCAGGCCCAAACCTTTGTGCACCCCCGAGCCTCGAGCGGACATTACAGAGCTCCGAGCTACGCCTGGACAGACTGACCTCAGGGCCCAAGGGCCTGGGCGGTCTCCCGCCTCTGGCTTCGGCCCCGCCTCACTCCGCATCCTACCCCGCCCCTTCCCTCGCCTTGCCACGCCCATCACTCCCACGTGGCTCCTTAAGGCCCCGCCCCTTTCCCCTCCCACCACTCCCACGCCACCATCTCGAGGCCACGCCCCTTCCCTCGGCCCGCCACTCCCACGCGGCCACTTCGGGGCTTCCCTTGCCCTGTCCCGCCCATCATTCCCGTAAGGCCACTTGAACGCCCGCCCCTTCCCTCTCTCCCATCCCGCCCCGCCCCTCGATCTCGCCTCGCCACACCCATCACTTCCGCCTGCCCCCTCGGGGCCACGCCCTCTGCGGGGCCACGCCCTCTGCGGACCCGCCCGCGCCACGCCCCCGCCGCGCCACGCCCCTCGCGCAGCTCGGCCCCTTCAAGGCTGCGCTCCCGGACCCGCCCATTCTGCCGCGCGGGTCTCGGAGCCAGCGGGCTGCTTGCTGCTGCGGCTGCGCCTCCTCGTCCCCCCGCGTCACCGCTGCCGCCATGCCCGGAGGGCTCCTTCTCGGGGACGTGGCCCCCAACTTCGAGGCCAATACCACCGTCGGCCGCCTCCGTTTCCACGACTTTCTGGGAGACTCGTAAGTGGCCGCCGCGTCGCGGGGCCCCGGCCCCCGACCCTGGTCGCGCGGGGCCCGGCGGCGGTGCCTTCCCCATTTCTCCTTCCCGTCCTCCGCACCCTTGGCCCGCCGCGCGCCGCCCGCCTCCGCCGCGCACCGGTTTCCCGCACGAGCCTCCCGCGGGCTGGCGCTGCGGTGCACCTCCGGCGTCTGGCGCGGCCCGCGGGTCACCGGGTCCCGCCGGGCCCCGGGGCCGCGCCGGCGTGCGGGCGTGGACTGTCCCGGGGAGCCCGCCGCCCGGGGCGGCCGGGGTCGCACGGCCCTCCTCCCTCACCCTGGTGGTGGAATTTGCACCCCGGGGCAGGGGGCTGCCCGAGGCCGGAGTCGGAGGGCGCAGCTGCGGGCCCTGCTCGCCCCGGAGGTGCTTTTCAGATCTGGGGACCTGATGGGGAAACCTAAAAACCACCCGCCGCCAAGGACGCGGCCGAAAGATTTCTCTCTCTCTCTTTTTTTTTTTTTCTGTCCAGCGACTAGGAAATGATTGGCTGTAACAGTTTCTGGAGGTCCCAAGGTCGCTTCTGTGTGTCTGTGTGCCCTTCGTTCCAGAACTTGCAACACTTGCACTAAGCCGCATCCCCAGCCCCGGGGCGGAAAGAATAGATCGGCCTGGGTGACCTACCCCGGGCACCGAGCCACGTGTACTCCCCACTTGAACACTCTTTTGTTTCCTAGGGGTCCCCTCCCCCTTGCCCTTGCTGGGGAGAGCCAGCCGGGATGCCCTCATGACTCCCGAGTTGAAACAGCCCTGTTGTGCAGATCATCAGACTGTTAAATTGTTTGGTTTGAATCAGAAGCTATGCCTGAATCCCAGCTATGCTTGGCTAGATTATGGCTCTGCAGTTTCCAGTGGCCACTACACAGGTGTTGCTCCCAGGCCGGACGATTCCTCCTGGCTTTGATGCAGGCCTACCTATTTCGAGACCGGGACGCCTGTGAAATTAACCAGTGATTGAACAGGACCTCCCAGACTCATAGACATCAGTCCTACCCAACTCCTTACATACATCCCTCTTAAATTCATTCTCCAACTACTGATTATGAGAAAAGGAAGCTTTCCCAAAGGAAGCACTAAGCTAGGGGGAAAAAAAGGTGGGGAGGTGACAAAAAGAACTTTCAGGTCTTGCAGGCAGGAAAAGACTTCAGCAGATGGTAGCCACTCTCCAATTAGTATTTCTCTAAAACTCCATAGGATTTTCAGTGTGTTCTTACCCATTTCGACCCACAGCCCCCATGAAACATGGAAATATTACCAGTTTTTCATTTGAAAATTTGAGATAAATATTAACGTATACCGTGTTTACTGTAGCCATAATTAGAAACACTATCACTTCTTAAGCTAACCACTTTTTTTTTTCTTTTGGGTTCAGCTTGAACTCAGGGCCTGGGCACTGTCCCACTCAAGGCTAGTGCTCTATCACTTTGAGACACAGTGCCTCTTCTGTTTTCTGGTGGTTAATTGGAGATAAGAGTCTCATTGCCTTTCCTGCCCATGCTGGCTTCGAACCTGGATCCTCAGATCTCAGCCTCCTGAGTAACTAGGTGCCACCAGCACCTGGTTCCTAACCATACTTTTGTTGGGTATTGTGCTGATCCTATCAAATGGGAACCACCAGTAGGAAGATGAGAAAAATAGATACATCTATATATAAACTATTACAGAAGTCTGACGGGTCAAGTCCTAACTGGAAACCAAGTTTCCACACATTGTTTCATTATAATATCACAGATTTGTGCCTGGTTTTCCCAGAGTCCTTCCTGCATATGACCTCAGTTGAGATTGTTCCAGGTATCTTTGGGAAAGAAAAATTCAATTCAGACATTGCATGTGTCTACACTATGACTGAAACAATTGAAAGGTTTTAGGTGCGTTAGATGTGAATTTATTGAGAATTATCATTGTTTCTGCTTGTAACAAAGGCAGTGCGTGCATGTGTGTGTGTGTGTGTGTGTGTGCGTGCGTGTGTGCGCGTGCATGTGTTGGGGCTTTTTGCTCAAGGCTAGCACTCTACTGCTTGAACCACAGCCCACTTCTGGATTTTGGTGGTTAATTGGCAATAAAAGTTTCACAAACTTTCCTGCCTGAGCTGGCTTTGAACTTCTTTCCTTAGATCGCAGCTTCCTGAGTAGCTAGGGTTACCGGCATGAGTCACAGGGTGCCAGGCTCCCAGGCAACTTCTCTGTAGTACTCCTCAAACAAAAGGCCTTTACCAGGGATTTGCAGGGACTTGGTATATAGAAACCATTCCCTTGGAAAGAGGAAACCCTTTGCCTAGAAAATGAAGAAGGAAATGGGATATGTAATTGAATTACTCTCAAGAGCAGTAGTAGCAAATAGGATGGCGCATCAAGCTAAGGTAAGACCTTCTTGGAGAAACTTGTGCCAAGCTGGAGGTTGGCTTCCTAGGGAGGGCCTGTGAAGTGACAGAAACCAGTTCCCTAGTATGATTCAGCAAAACAGACTGTTGACGCACAGTGGAAAGACTTTCCTAATCTATCAGCTCTTTGGCAATACAGGGGGAAAAAATACCATTTTCCCAAAACTTCTGGAGATTCACTGTATGTGTGAGAGACTTGGGTTTGAACGCAAAGCTTCAAGCATGCTAGGCAAGTACTGTACCACAAGTACTTTTGTTTGACCAGAGCTGCATCCCTAGGCATCCTTCTTTTATTGTTTTGGTTTTGTGTTTGTATTTTGTTTTAAAGACAGAGTATAGTTAACTTTGCTGGGACTGGCCTCCATCTTCCTGCCTGCATCTCCTGGTAGAATTGCTTACAGGTGTGGGTCTCCACACCTGACTCTGAAGACCTTCCTTAAGGCTCATCTAACTCTTTAATAAGTCCTTTTTCATAGAAGCTTAGGCCTAGATTTTACTCTTACCAATTACTTGTTTCAAAAGATACGTGTCCTTCTTATTGCCCTCTATTAGAAAATGAAGCATACGTGACTCCTCCACAGCTGTCAAAAATATGATCTATTTCTTCTCCTTCCTTTTAGTCAGAAGGTCTTTCCTTGTGAGTTGAGTGGCAGATGGAGGTGGGTAGGAGGTGTCCTTTGTACTTTGTGCTCAGAGAAAGATCAAACTTTTGAGAGATTAGCTTAGCATCTAGTATAGATTGAGAAATCTATACTAGATGACTTGTGTAGTTCATAGAAGGGTAGAGAAGAGTTGTTTTTTCCTTATTTTCTTTTTCCTTCCCTCCTTTCTTTAATCAGATGAAAAAAGTAGCTTCTGTTGACAAGGAGAAGGAAATGGTACCCTAAACTTTCTTGGTAACTCAACTAGCTTGAACTGCATTCAAAATCGGTACGAAGTTTAACCTTGGGTAGTGATGATGCCGATATTAGTATTTGCCAAAGAACTGTAGTTGTAGAATGTATATTATGGGCTGTTTTCTCCCTCCTTATTCTGAAGCAAGAAAAGGAAACTGCACATAAAGAAGACCAGTGAAAAGTGTTACACTCTGTTGTGTGCAGAGTACAAACATAGGTGTATCCTGTTTAGCAGGTATTTAGATAAGTAGCTTTATGAAAGATTTTATATCCACCTATTTCAGTCTTAATGTCAGTCTTAATTTCACTTATAAACAGGACAGAAAGTGATTTGTTTCAGGTTATATAATCTGTTTATTAGTGTAGGCAGGCACTGCTTAGATTCAGGGCATGTGAGAACTGAGTGAAGGTCTGTGCTAGGGAAAAAGAAAATGAAAATGAGTAAGAAATAACAAGTTATTTTATAACCTACTTGACTTAAGTAGTACTTTTTTTTTTTTTTTTGGTCTGTCCCGGGGCTTGAACTCAGCCTGGGCACTGTCCTTGAGCTCTTCTGATCTTTAAGCCACAGCGCCACTTCCCGTTTACTGGCGGTTCATTGGAGAGTCTCACACATTTTCCTGCCCAGGCTGTCTTTGAACTACGATCCTCAGATCTCAGTCTCCTGAGTAGCTAGTATTACAGCTGTGAGCCACCAGTGCCTGGCAAGTAGCACAGATTTTAATGGCTGACAGGAAATCAAGGTGGCAGCACCCTAAAATTAGACTTTTGGGGTCATGTCTTTAATTGAAAAGCTTTCAACATTAGAACCTTTTGCAGGTAAGAATGAAAAATATTTCTCAATTGAAAAGTTAAAAAATAAATGTCTTCATAAGCTTTTTTTTTTTTTTTGGTTGGTTGTGGGGCTTGAACTCTGGGCCTGGGAGTTGTCCCTCAGCTTTTCAGCTCAAGGCCAGCGCTCTACCACTTGAGCCACAGAGCCACTCCTGGCTTTTTCTGCTTATATGGTGCTGAGGAATCAATACCCAGGGCCTCATGCATGCAAGGCAAGCACTCTACCACCAATGCACCTTCTGAGCCCTTCATAAGCAGTTCTTTTTTTTTTTTTTTTTTTTTTGGTCGGTGGAGCTTGAACTCTGGGCCTGGGCGCTGTCCCTCAGCTCTTCAGCTCAAGGCGAGCGCTCTACCACTTGAGCTACAGCGCCACTTCCGGTTTTCTGGTGGTTTATTGGAGATAGGAGTCTCACGGTCTCTCCTGCCCAGGCTGGCTTTGAACTGTGATCCTCAGATCTCAGCCTCCTGAGTAGCTAGGATTACAAGCATGAGCCACCAGCGCCCGGCCATAAGCAGTTCTTAAAACCTGTTTTAAATCCAGATGTTGTGACTTTTCATTCTGCATGATGTGACCTTCTTTTCCTTCTTCCAGATGGGGCATTCTGTTTTCTCATCCACGAGACTTTACCCCTGTGTGCACCACAGAGCTTGGCAGAGCTGCACAGCTGGCACCAGAGTTTGCCAAGAGGAATGTTAAATTGATCGCCCTTTCTATAGACAGCGTGGAGGACCATCTTGCCTGGAGCAAGGTATAGTTGTTTGTGATGAGAGCTGCAGCTCTCTCTTTCTCTCTCTCAACAATGGAGCAAGATCTAAATGCTCTTCCTTCAAGTATATGGTGTCAGAATTGAGTTGAATCAGATGATGTCCAGCTGGTGTGTGATATAGAATTGGTTGGAGATGGGGTGTAGGAAACCCTACTTCTAGGTGAATGGAGGTTGCAGAAGAAGTCTTCTGTGTTGATTATTCAATGAAATATCAGGGGGAAAAAAACACTTAATTTTTTTCTTATGAGCAGAAATACTAATTTACAAGTGCTTCAGGCCTAAGATATATAGACTAGTTAACTTTTGGGGATAAAGGTACAAGCGCATCTCAGGTTTGAAGTTCACTGGTTCACAGGAGATCTTTGGACTTCATGGTACATCCGCCAGTCTCCCTCTCACTTGGCTACCAATACACTGAGCCCAGCTGATCGCTCTCTATCGTCACCCATGTTCTTCTCCTGCTCCGAGGATGCCACAGCCTTGCTGTTACTGCTCAGGTTTACTTTAGTTCTTCACTAGTGCCCAACTCGTAACTTTTGCTGAAGTTACCTAGAACTTATTTCTTCACTGCTCTTGTCCATCTACTCCTTTGTCCAATTGAGCTATCCACTCCCATCCATAATTAACACCCATATTGCTGTGGTTCTCAAAGTTCCATTTCTAGGCCACACTCTCCTGTCCTCAGGTTGCTGAAACTGTTGCTTATCACCCTCTCTCCTGAGAGACATAGCATGTCTTTCCAAGGTCTTACTCACCTCAGCTCATGACAGCTACATTTTTGTAGTTTTGCTGGCCTCAAATCCCTTGGTTTTATATCACGTGTCTAATTTATCCACAACAGTTACAGCTCCTACTGTAAAATATGTCCAGGTTTATATTTGGAAGACTCTGCTGGTATATCTGTGTGGGATGACTTTAGCTCTTTTGGATCTCAACTTTTGACAACTTATTAAAGTCTTTCTTTGTTCTCATCTAAAGTAATAACTCGTCCATCCTCCTTCTTTCCTTCTTCTTAGCACTGTACCATCTAAATCTTTGTTGCTTATTTAGTTGGTTTGTTTCTCCCCATTGAAGCACAGGCCGGGCAGAGGCCAACTCTTTTTAGTTTACTGCTACAACAGTGCCCAGCACTCTCTTCACTTAGATGTCAGTGTTGATTGCATGAGTGAATTGTAGTAATTATCTATTTTCAGCAAAACAATTTCACTTGGACAGTAATTTACTTGGCAGTCTGAATTTGCTATACTACTAATAATGGCACTACCTTTTGCACTGGTACTGAGCACTGTCCAGTATGTGCAGCTGAATAAATGATGGGGTTCACCTGCTCACACATTGTGACCGGGGCCTGCCGGCTGCATCCCATGGGCGTTTCATACCAGTTCATCCTAAAAGCCTGAGATGAGAAGAATCGTGTTGCAGAGCGTGAGGACACTTGCCTTTCTTCAGGTGGAGTTTTGTTATTCTTTACACATGGAGGGAAATGCTAACTTGCTTATACGGCATTCTCACATGCACTTTCTCATTAGATCCTAGCCATGGCCCTTTTAAAGTAGATGTATGTTTCCTGCTCTCATTTTGTAACTGAATGTTAGAGTAACTTGCTTGAGAATGCCCAACTTTCCAGTCTAGGTGGCAATGTTATTTGAACTTTGAACCATTGTTCTTTTGGTACTAGCTGGTGAAGAGTAGAGTTAGCCTAATTTGGCGTAGAATAAGACCAAAGTACTGCCTCTCATGTAAGTGGTAGGATAGAGAATTTATGCATATCAAAAATTAAAGCCAAAGCCAAAGGAAGAGTTTATAGACATTAAATAATACCTTTTAACGAGAGCACACCCATATTCATTTTATGTGGTGATCTTCTGCCTTGAAGTTTTCAAAGTACCCAAACTTTTACATGTACCTAGGAGGAAACCCCAAGGTGGCTGTAGCATGAAACTATATGGTAACTTGGTAGGCAGCCAGTGACAACAAAAGGGAAGTTGATGATAGCCAAATGGACATGTTAATATCCATCGTTACCCATTTCTCAGGTCATTAATGTCATTTTTATGTCTACTGAGACATGCAGAAATTTTAAATCTGCTATGTCATCACACTCCATTTTACTTTCAAGACGCTACATGGGTAAATTGATCCTTTTCCAGGCTTAAGTCCATTTTCCCATCATTCCATACAACTTGCCCAGCAGAGTTCCTCACTCCTGTGAACTTCTGTATGTTTTATCAGTGTTGTTACTCCTGCCTAGCACACACACCTCCTTTTCCTAGTGAGAAACCTTGCCCATCTTCAAAGGCCTTTGAGAAATGGCTTACCCCTTTCTCAAAGCTTCTTTTCCTAACTGAGCAGTGCAATAAATTAGAATGGCAGTTTCCTTCAGCATTTGTACCATCTTATATTTGCTGCTACTTCATACAGGAATTAACCGGTTAGGAGTTCCTTTGAAGGCTGAATGGTGTATGGGTGTTTCTCCTGGAATGTTTTATCCACTTGTGTTGTTATCAGTGCTTGACCAGATAATAAAACCAGTCTTTTCTCCTAAAGGTTTCCAGGAAAAGAAAACTAGAAATAAATAATGGTCTAGGGGAGAAAGGAAGTATAGCATTTTCCTTTCATTCAGACTTGAAATGCTTTTTGCCCATTTACCCTCAGTTTGTTCTTCAAGTATACATTCAGCCCTCCATTCTTGTGTTTGCATGAAGTTTTGTGACTGCCCCTTCCTCTCCTCTCCCATATTTCCCAATGTCTGACTTGTAGCCTAATATATGAGTCAGCGTTTTTGAAGCAGAGACCACATCTATAGAATTTTCTTTACAGTGGCATTATTTTGTGATGTATAGATGTACTTAATTTTTTATATTTTATAATCATATATGCAATTACTTTGCATGGGTATAATATAGAATTCATTCTGTATTAGTCAATTTCTAAAAGGTGAACTGTTTTCTCAAAGCAGTAAAAGCTTGCTCAACTGGACATGAAAGATCTTTGATCTCTAAGTGCTATACTCTGTTGTTAATATTTCCTCAATGAATAATTTATGACTGCTTCTCAGAAAATAATTGTCACTAAAGTCCTCTTTCCTCTCTTGTAAAGCAATGACTTCAGAGAAATGTCAAATTTATAATTCACTTTCCCCTTTCTCCTGCATTTCAGGATATCAATGCTTACAACGGCAATGAGCCCACAGAAAAGTTACCTTTTCCCATCATTGATGATAAGAACCGGGATCTGGCCATCCTGTTGGGCATGCTGGACCCTGCCGAGAAGGATGAAAAGGGCATGCCTGTGACCGCTCGAGTGGTGAGTGCAGCCGTCCACTCAGTCACCAGAACCCACCCGTCTGTGTCCACGTAAATGCTTAGCCTAATTTGGCATCGAATAAGACCGAAGTACTAGAGGAAATGGGGGAAATAACTATGGACCAGTGACAATATCCAGTGTATAATGCTGCTGGCAGAGTGGCTAAAATTTTCAACTAAATTTTTAAACTGCTAAGTTCACAGCTTTTATCCTAAAAACATCATCCAGAATTAAGAAAGCTTTTGTATTGCTTTTCTGACAGCTCTTATCTTTGAAGTGGTAGTTCAAGCCCTTTTCCATAGGACAATTTTTTAAATTCTTTTTCTGTCCTTTACTCATTGGAAAGCAAAGCCAATCTCTCATGTGCTTGAGAAGTCCGAGATCAACTCCTATCTGTGTTAATGTCCCCACCACCACCCTATATGACATAGTACCTTCCTGGGGCCTTCCCTGGTTTGAATTTACATAATCAGCTTTTCTTTTCTGAAGCAGTCAAACCAAATATAAATTCCTTTTTTTTTTTTTTAAGTCTAGAAAGTTGTCATAAAAAAGAAGATGATCAGTATCCCAGCCATCCCGATAAAGAGTTCAGCATCTCCTTCTTTGTATTGTTGATGACTGTAGAGCTTTCTGGGTGGCTTTACTGTCAAGCACTGAGATGGCTCTTCCTGTTTAAGCCTCTGTGTGTTTTGCAGGTGTTCATTTTTGGCCCTGATAAGAAACTGAAGCTATCCATCCTGTACCCCGCTACCACCGGCAGAAACTTTGATGAGATCCTCAGAGTAGTAATCTCTCTCCAGCTGACCGCAGAGAAAAGGGTTGCTACCCCCGTGGATTGGAAGGTAAAGATGTTCAAAGGATAGAAGGCCTGAGGGAGGACCAGTCTCTAAATGGCTGCCTTCACAGTCTGTCTCCCTCGGGCGTCCAAGTGCAGTGGGAGGACTGTTCCTCATGACCGAGGCTAAGATTTCTACACTTGTATGGGAAATACAAGCTGTGCATTGTTTGGGGACAAATTTATTGGGAAAATTATTCCTTTCCATATGTAAGTTGGGTATGCCTAATCCAAAAGTCCACAATTATAATGTCCCAAAATCTAAAGCTTGAAGGACAAGATGAATTTTAGATTTAAAATGTTCACATGAGGGCTAGTAAAATCTATGCAAATGTCCCAGTATCCTAAGAACTCCAAAATCTACCCACTCAACCTGTGCAGATTTGGGGAGTTACTTATTTATTTTTTATTTACTTATTTTTACTGGAACTATTCCCTGTGGCAAAAATATTTATAGCAAAATCTTGACTGGCTGTTTTTTCAAGTCGTGTCTCTAGAATTGTTGATGTATTTATACTAGGAAAGTATTTCCTTTCTCTGGGTATCAGCCTTTTAAACCTGTGTTGATGTCTCTGTAATTTCTTCCTAAATTTTTTAACCTTTAAGATCACTCCAAATCTAGGACAAATAATATCCCAAGAATGTCTGTCTTCATCTTGCTATGATGTTTAAAATATGCTGAGTACCAGATCAGATCTGTTGGTGTTGGTTCTCTGCTAGACAAACCATTTACATTCATGAGACACACAGCCCAGGCACTAGCAGTCTGTGTAGAATCCCTGCCTTGTTGTCTACCGAGCAGTGATGACAGATGCTACCAAAGGGAATAAGGGTGAATAGGAGCGGGGGTGGGGGGTGGGGGGGCAGGGAAGACTGGCTTCCTATTTGGCATCTAGGACTGCCTTTCTAGGAAAGGACCTTTGTGCTCCTGGCCAACCAGCGCACGTCTGAAAGGGAAGAGTGCAGGCAGAAGAGCACTTTCAGTGAATGGGCTCCACCTTGAAGGCCCCACGGCATGTAGAAAGAGTCGGAGGAAGCCAATGGGCCTGCAAGAGGAGAGGCAGGAGGTAGGGTGAGGAGCTAGAGATGAGGAGGAGCCAGATCCAAGCCCATGGGACCTGGACGCCATGGGTGTTGAACATGAAAGTTGAATTGTATGCTATTTCATACTGAGGTGAGACGATACTTTGTCAGAGGTAGTGAAAGCAATTGCTCAGAGGGGAGAGCATGAAGAAAACTGTCATCATCTTCATTAGCATTCACCTACTTTTCTGAAGTCAATTTTTATAGCCCTGTAATGCGCCTGTAAGACTGAATTAGACCATTCTCCATATCTTCCAATAGGATGGGGAGAGTGTGATGGTCCTTCCAACCATCCCTGAAGACGAAGCCAAAACTCTGTTCCCTAAAGGTGTCTTCACCAAAGAGCTCCCGTCTGGCAAGAAATACCTCCGCTATACTCCCCAGCCCTAAGTCTGTCCGGCAGTTGCATAGAAATATCGGGGTGCCATCACAGCCAAGGTCGTCACGCTGCTGTACTACTGGCTTATTAAATGGAAGTGGCCCTAAAACTTTCTTGGGATTCTTTACTCTGCCTTCACCAGCATTTTGTCTGTTCCTCCACCTCAGCACTCTGCTGGCTGGCCCGCTGAACTATATTGTGTATCTGAGACTCAAGTCTTGTATCTCTGCAGGGTTTGTAATCAGCAAGGTCGTATGCAGTGATGAGTGAGAAAGCTTGCTTCACTCAGTCATGGAGTGATTATCAATTTTTGTAGTGGTACTGATCAAATAAATCTTCTCTTTTGTTGCTCATTTTGGAGAACACTGGACTGTGAGGTTCCATTTCTTCTGTTAAGTCTAAGTAAATAACTTAGGAACATAAGAGTAACTTGTATTCTTTAATAATCAGTATTTTTCTAATCATGGTTGGGGGAAACTAATTCTGTACTTTTCTAGTAGATAACTGCAACAAGAAGAGCAGAGGGAAGAGTCTTTAAATAATGTGCTATTAAAAAAAATTGCCATAAATCTCTAAATGGAGAGACTGCGGAAACGGCTTCCCAGCAGGGAAGGCGTTGGTGAAGATCCGAGCAGGACGAGCGCCGTGTTCCCCTTCGAGTCTTCCCTCCTCACCTCTCCCTCCAATAACAGGCGCATGTGACTGGCGCGCCTCATGAAGAGGTCTCGAGTGTTTATTGTGCGACTGTTCTCACAGCGGGCTGCTATTTTCTGAACTTTGCTCTTGGGGGATCAGCAAATAAAATCCTTTGTTGAAACTGGATTAGAGAAGTGTGTTGTCCCGCTTTGAAGTACTAGTTTAGACTCAGGCCCTGAAGGACAGAGGTTTCCGTCTCACAGGATTGGCACGAGTATTTTCCCCCAAAGACAAATGCATGGAGTTGCATATGATGAAACGGAGCAGCTAAAGAACATCAGATCTCCATACATATCTTGCCCTGCGTCACATTATTTTCTTGGATTCTAGAGTCCCACAACTGTAGTGCCCTACTATAAGATCACACCCACCTAACCCAATGCCTTGGTAGGATGGCTTGGCTTAAAAATAAGAACTTTGAAGAACTTTTAGTGGTCCATCAGTGCTTTTTGTTACTCTGAACTTAACAGAGTCTCAGACTTTTATTATACTATGCTACTAAGTCTTAGTTTTAAACAGAAGTATCCCATTTACATGTCTTAGCCTGCTTGCAATGTTACAGCAAAGATATCATAGACTAGGTGGCTTAAACAGTATCAGTTCTGTAGGCTGGGCAGTCTAAGATCTAGATAATGGTAGGTCCCTTGTCTCCCAAGAGATCAACTGTTTAAAAGGACATTCATCCCATTCAGGAAGGCTCCACTCTTAGAACCTAATTTCCTCATGAAGCCCCACATCCACACATAGATAGACCGCATCGTATTGTGTAGTCTGCAGCATTACCAATTTTAAGGGGACACACATTCAGTCCATGGCACCAGGTTCTGTCCTTTGCACGAAGCCCTCCATACTTTTATTGAGTAATTCTATGAACCATAGTGCCTTGTGTTTGACAAATCAAGCCTTTAGTTTCCTTGATTTCTCTGTAAAATTTGGGTGACACTCTTAGAATATTGAAAATGGAGACAAAAATCTCAGGTCACACAGCATTCTGGGTAGGGAGGCTCTCTTTCCCAATATAATGTGCTCTTAAAGAACTCATAGTACCTACCTATGATCTCAGCACTGAGGAGGTAGAGGCCGGATGATCATGGTTTTGAGGCCAGCCTAGATAGCCTGTCACCAATCAACCAGAACAAAAAAAGATTTGGTATATTATTTGTCCTCCAATCTTCAGTTTATTCCCTGATCCTCTGACATTTGCTTTCTTTAATCCTGAACGCTCTTGGAGAGTCTGCCTTTAACTTTTATCAGCAGCTCAAAATATAAATTTCTAACTACTCATCCTCCACACTCGAGTCAATGTTTATTGACCAATGGCACAGTTGTCACAAAATCAAATCTGGTCATCTTTTCCCACACCTCAATAAATGTCTGGTCCCTCATCACCCACTCAAGCACCCAATCCTTGGTTGGTGCTTTGACTGTATCTGTTTTACATAATGTGGTGATGTCACCAAAGGGAGAAAAAATGCTGAAAACTCAAGGAAAAGGGGTGATGTGTTCACACATCTGGTTTTACTAAACAGTTTTGAAACCTCAAAACACTACAATATTCCTTTCCAAATATGAATACTTCATGAGTACACATCCCCAGGGTAGAAGTCATCCTGAGTACATTTGTAAATATGCTGGGCAGTTCCTTTACTGACAGAGGTTGCCCTAAGTTTTCACACAGTGATGCACCCAAAGATTGTTCCTTGAAAACGATTAATACTCGATCATCGTGGCTGAGGAAGATGGTAGTTTGAAGGACATACTAATTGCTAAAAAAAAAAAAAAAAGGCATTGCCACCCTCGTCACTTACTGGTTCAGAAATGGACACACAGGATTCACATTTTTCCCAAATAGAAGATTGTTGGAGGATGGTAGAAGAATTTTTTAAAGTATGGAAGCTTTCATTCTTTTTGTTTTCCACTAGATCGGAACAAGAAAAGAGGAAGTGCTAATTGCTGCTGGCAGGCACTCTAACATCGGAGGAATGGTTCCCCAGTGGTAGAAGGAGATTTGGAATTTGCTTCAGGTATTCATCACAGCAACAAAAAAGGCAAAGCTTCATAAGGAAAAGGCTTCTTGTCCTATTCCTGAGAAGCCTGGTGACACCATTTTGTCACCAGGAGGACAAAAAGCCCAGGAGAAGGAGAGGGAGGAGTCTGGGCCTACAGCAGCCATACTGGCTGTCTGCCTACTCCTGGAAAATCTTCCCACATCAGAAAAAAGCCAGGGCACCTGGTGGCTCACACTTGTAATCCTACCTACTCATGAGGCTGAGATCTGAGGATCAAGATTTGAAGCCAGCTCGGGCAAGGAAGTTAATGAGACTCTGATCTCTAATTAACTGGCAAAAAGTCAGAAGTGGAGCTATGGTTTAAGTGGTAGTGCTAGCCTTGCATGAAAAATCTAAGCGAGAGCTTAGATCCTAAGTTCTAGCCCCAATAGCAGTGCACGTGAGCATGCATGTGCATATGCACGCGCGTGCGTGCGCGCACACACACACACACACACACACACACACACAGAGCCTCTGTGGTTAAGTGAGAACAGTCAGGTCTGTAAAAACTACTACACCTGGTATTAACTGACAGGTATTCTGAAGACAACTCAAATCCTACACTGAGAAGATCCTGAAATACTGGGCGAATTTGATTAATTCCCTTGCATTGCCTTCTTTAGTATGGTTTTCCCCTAAGATAGCATTGTATACGTGATAAAGAATAACATGTTGTAAAATGAACAGTTGACCATAGCATTCAGCTTTATTTGATTTTTAAAAATAAAATGAAACATGACATCAACCAGTACCTTGTAATGTCAAGGATGTTAACCAAGATGGTAGAACATAGTTCTATTTTCCAATAACATCTACAGTAAATTGGGGAGGGGAGAATAGCTATACCCTGGAAAATATCAAGGGAGGTATTCATTCATGGTAATGTCACAAATAAAAATTATAGGCTGTATGCTTTTGGCAGCAATGTATTAACGGTGCCATACATTTGCTAACTTACTGAAAGCAAGTCTAGTATGACTTGCTCTCAGCTATAAGCAGGATTTCATTTGGCACATCACGTGTTTTAGAGTATCTTTTTTCATCCTGGTGACTTTTGAACATTTCAAGGATAATGCAACGACTTAAAACAGAGATTTTCCAGCAGTGAACTGTTCCAGTAGATTCCATGGAGGCTCTTCGCCAGGTTGCTTTCAACACTGGAGGGCATTCGTTCACTTTTTTAAGTGACTCCACACATTGTATTTGCATCATTAGTTTGTTTTTCTAAAGTGGTGCCCAGCTTCCAACTACAAAAGAAAATGAAAAGTACAATATTAGATGATAGATATTTAGGAATAACTCTTTACCTTTTAAGTGGAGCCAGAAAACATACAGCATAGCTCTCATGTTGTTACCTAGAACATTTTCCTTTGAAAAGTTTTTCATAGAACGTTGAGTCATCCTCTGTGATTAACCACGCGTGCGCCTTGGGGCCGCAGGAACACGGCAGGCCTTCAGCTCCTCCGGGAAGAAGGGTATTAGGAAAGCTAAACTCCAGTTAACTTTACGATTGCTTGCCAAGGAACTGGAAACTTCTTTCATATTAGAAAAATGACTCAGGAGGCTGAGCTCTGAGGATTGTGGTTCAAAGCCAGCCAGGAAAAGTCTGTGAGACACTCAACTCCAATTAACCACCAGAAAACCAGAAGCAGAGCTGTGGCTCAAAGTGCTAGAGCCCTGCCCTTCAGCAAAAGAGCTCAGGGACAGTGCTCAGGACCTGAGTTCAAGCCCCGGGACTGACAAGAGACGGGGTGGCGGGGGTGGGGGGGGAGGATGAGAATTTTTTTGTAATAACAGGACCTGTGCACTGGGCATGTCAACTCAGCGGACAGTCGCTTGGCTAACATGAGTGAGGTTCTGGATTCATTCCCCAGCTCTGCGAATAAAAACCACCACAGGGCCTGAAAACAATGGTCCCACGTGAGAAGCCCAATTATTGACTCTCGATTAGCTTTCCCACTTCTGAAATAGGATCCATTTAGGAATCAGGAGCTGAGTTGCCTCCTTGAAAGAAATGATTGACCATGACCCTGGTGATGTCATTTCTTCCTCTGGAGACTGCACTGCCAGCCAACCTGAAGATCACCAATGGCGGTGGCCGGACCACAGCTCCTGTGTGAAGGCCGTTAGGGTGGTGGTTAGGGATGCGTGGGCTCAGGGCCTTTCCCAGCGGCACTGGTACGGCCTGTGTGGCCTGCCCAGGCTTCCCCCAGGTGACCAGACCCCTAGCAGCTAGAGACTGGAAGAAAGAGGGCGCTGAAGGCCCCTGAACTTCACCAGCTCGGAGCCACCGCTGCCCCTGTCAGAACCATTGACTTGGCCACTGTACCCGCACTAGGCCCTGGCCCAAACAAGCCCTGTTAGGCCACCAAACAGAGACCCCTGGAGCTCCAAGGATTCCCTCTTCTCTGACCAGGCACCAGGTGACAAGCTCCTTCGCCTCCCCAACTCTCAAGAATGGCTCCTAGCATTGCCAGATTTCTCTAATTCGGCCTTGTTCACTGCTGTAGAAGGGATGGGAAGGGAGGGGAGAAGTCTGCATGACTCTCCATGTGGTTGGTTCACACCTGTTACCCCAGCACCGGGAGAGGTAGAATCATCAGGCATTCAAGGTGCGTGAGACCCTGTCTCTAAACAAATAAATGACAGTACTCAGCCGGGTGTGGTGGTGTAGGTCTGTAATCCCAGCACTTGGCCTAGGCTTGGAACTTGACTTTAAAAAAAAAATGGTTTGAACTCTCTTGTTTTATATTAAAGATACATGTAAAACTGCGATCCTCGTCAAGAGTTTATTCTAATATAAGACATGTAAAATGACCTAGCAGTTGGATCTTGAGTCAAAACGGACACTCCAGGAAGCCTGCAGCCAGGGCCGGCACGCCCGGCATGCTCTCGTGCAGCACCTTCCACGCCCAGCAATGGGAGAAGCGCGGACATGCCACACTGACGCTGCCCCTGAGTGCCGTCTGCGCCCCTCCCCAACTCTCACCCCATACAGCCTTCACTTCTTCAGTAAATGCTGAGGGAATGCGGATGGGAAGCTGGGCAGGGCAGGATCCTATATTTCAAAGGCATTCTAACGGTTTTAATTCTTTTCAGTAGTACCCAAAGCCTTGAATTTGCTAGGCGTGCAGGCATTCTACCACTGAGTCACACACCCAATCCTTTTTACTATTGGGTGGGGGGAGCATAGCATCTTATATTCTTGTCTAGGCCAGCCTCAGACGAAAATCTTCCTGACTACACCTTCCGTATAGCTAGGTTATTACAGACGTGACTCCATGCCTGACAATTTTGTTGAGGTCTCACCAACGTTTTTGCCTGGACTGGCCTTGAATTATGATCCTCCTCATCTATGCCTCCTGAATAGCTGGGACTATAGGCATATGTCACCATATCTGGCTATAGTTTTCTTCCTGTGTCTCTGTGCCAGTCTTAGGGCTTGAACTCAGAGCCTGCGCACTATTCCTGAGCTATTTTGCCCAAGGCTAGCACTCTACCGCTTGAGTAACAACTCTACTTCTGGGGCTTTTGTGTGTGTGTGTGTGTGTGTGTGTGTGTGTGTGTAGAGATGAGAGTCTCACAGACTTTTCCTGCCCAGGCTGGCTTTGAACTGCCATCCTCAAATCTCAGTCTCCTGAGTAGCTAGGATTACAGGTGTCTGGCAGTTTTAACTTAACTGATCTAGATGAGCTTTCTCTCCATTTGTCCAAATTAATGAGTTGCAGATAGTCTCTTTTCTCATCAAATGGACTGACCTCAAATTTTACTCTAGCTGTTTAATAGTAATTTCAACACTATTTGCCAAAAAAAAAAAAAAAAAGATTCCAGATACCAAATTGTGTTACCTCATCTTTTCGCTTCCAAGTATAGTCTCTCTTGGTTGTTCGAAGACCAGTGTTGTCTGAGGGGAAGCAAACACATGCACTGAGCAGACAAAAACTGAAATTAAGACTTCGAAAGTAACAGCAGGAGAATAAAGACCAATTTGCTCCCTCCGTGTGAGACTCTGGTTTCCCTTTCTGTTGTTTTTTGGGTATTTGTTTGTTTGGGTTTTTTGGGGGGGGTCCGGTCGTGGGGCCTGAACTCTAGGCCTGGGCGCTGTCCCTCAGCTCTTCAGCTCAAGGCTAGCCCTCTACCACTTGAGCCACAGCGCCACTTCCGGCTTTTTTTCTTTTTGCTTATGTGGTGCTGGGGAATCGAACCCAGGTCTTCATGCATGCAAGGCGAGCACTCTAACACTTGAGCCAAAGCGCCACTTCCTCTAGTTTCCCCTTCTACCTTTAAAATGGGCTTCTTGCTTTCTTCCCTCAGAGGTTTCTACAAAAATGAAAGGAAACTTGCCACATCACACAAAGCAGCAAGAGGAGCAGTGGCCATGACGGCGGCGAAGGCTTGGCTCCTGCTGCAGACACAGCAGACGCGCTAGCAAAGCCAGGCCACGGCCGGCAACGAGAGTGGAATCCAGCCCCCACACTCCCTCCCCCAGCCTCTCTCTTTCTCCCTGGAGCTTGAACTCAGGGCCTGGGCACTGTCCCTCACCTTTTTTTGCTCAAAGCTAGCACTCTACCACTTCCAGCATTTTCCATGTGTGTGGTGCTAAGGAATCAAACCCAGGGCTTCATGCATGCTCGGCAAGCCCGCTACCACTAAGACGTTCCCAGTCCATATTCTCATTTTCGTAAGCACTTCAAAATCTACCTTTTATAAGTGTAGAATTTCCATTCCATGTGCTTTCTATTTGACAATGAATGTAAATTTTTCAAAAGAAAATATGTGTTTGGGGTCGAACCCAGTGTACTAACTAGACCCAGCTTATGGACTTTTGGGACTTTTGTCACAAATCCACTGAGAGACACAAAGCAATGTGTCTAAAAATACAGAGATAAAAGAAAAAAATAATGACAGAGATCCTGACACAGAAGGGCCTCCTCCCAAATGAACAGTTCATCAGCAACTGCCCGGTGCCCGGCTCCGGGCTCCCGCTGGTAACCTTAGCTGCACAGATCAGGAGAGACACGAAGAATCACAGCGCCAAGCCAACCCAAGAAGACAAATCTGCACAATTTTATCTTCAACTAACCATCCAAAAGCAGGGCTAGAGATATGGCTCAAGTGGTAGAGTGCTAGCCAAGCAAGCAAGCCAAGCAAACACAAAGCCCTCAGTTCAAACCCTCATGCTAGCAAAAACAAGGAGGGAGGGAGGGAGGGAATAGCACATCAAGAGCGGCTGCATCATCCTGTCCCAGCTGGGCAGCTGGGAGAGGTGGCCCCTTGGGCTTGGTTAGGCAGGGGTGCTGAGCTCAGAATCTTGGGGGTGCCCTCTCCAGTACACGGCCTTTTCTCTCTGGCCTTCTCTGTACAGCTGGCGCCTGGCAGCGGTGACACCTGCGGGCAGGGCTGATAAACACCAAGATAAACACCTTCTCGCTCTCCAAGTGCGCGGGAAGGTCAGGTGTCTGCCCTGTCCCTGGTCCTGTCCTCCACTTCCCCAGCACTGTGTGGCTGCAGCCGGGCCCAGCAGAAACACGGGACATGGTGGAGGCTGCTCTCCATGCTCACGGGCAGGAGGGAGGCACAGAGCCGAGCAAAGAGCCAGCTGGACCTTTCAGAGTGTGGAAGACTCTCAGAGGTGACAGGCTGGAATTAAGGTGGCAGCCAGCAGTGTGGGCGCAAGAATGGGGATGCAGGCCGTGCCCGCGCGGGGCCCTCCCAGACCACGGCTGGGAATTCAGTGGATTTCGCATTTGCTGCAGTCCGTGGCTTTCCTATCCTAGAAAGGCCAAGTGCCTTCCTTACCCATGGCGTGAGAGGTCGTATCGCTTTTGGCAGGCTCCGATTCTTGCACTATCAGCAGCTTGCTGACATCCGCAACTCCCTGAACCTAAAGCGGAAAAACAAGACTAGTGAGTAAGTTGGCTGCTTGGCAACCTTCTTCAAAAGAATCAAAGAAGCCAGGCACTCAGGGGGACAGCGGGCATCCCAGCCACTCAGCAGACGGAGATTGCAGATCCATCAAGGCAGAAGAATCCATGAAACGCTCAGAATCTCAAACATAACCAGCAAAGTCTGGCGCTGATAGCTCACACCTGTAATCCCAGCTACTCAGCAGGCTAAGCTTTGAGGACTGTGATTCAAAGAGAGCCTGAGCAGAAACATCTGTGAGACTCTTAGCACCACTAAACTACCAAAAACTGAACAAACAAAACAAAACAAAAAAACAGAAGTGGTGCTGTGGCTCAAGTGATAGAGTACTAGCCTTAAGCAAAAGAAGCTCAGGGATAGCGCCCAGGCCCTGAAATCAAGCTTGGGGGGTGAGGGGGAGTCAGTGCCAGTGACTCACAACTGTAATCCTAGCTACTTAGAAGGCTGAGATCTGAGGATCACGGTTCAAAGCCAGCCCAGGCAGGAAACTTCGTAAGACTCTTATCTCCAGTTAACCACCAAAAGAACCAGAAGTGGCACTGTGTCTCAAGTAATAAGAGTGCTCACCTTGAGCTGAAGAGCTCAGGGACAGCATCCAGGCCCAGAGTTGAAGCCCAATGACTGACAAAAAAAAAAAGGCTAGAGGTGTGGCTCAACTAGTAGAGTGCCAACCTGGCAAATATAGAAGCCTTGAGTTCAAGTCCCAGCATTGTAAGGGGAAAAGGAAGAACAATAATATAAGAAATAAGCCAGAATCTAGAATGGGTCTCCAGCGTAGGTCATTGTGTTTGGCTTGGGTTTGGTTTCATTTTGCTTTGTTTTCACACGGATCTCACTCTGTCACTCATTCTGGCCTCCAACTTGCCACCCTCCTGCCTGGGTCTCCTGAGTTGCTAGGATTATAGATAGGCATCACACTGCCAGACTACACCCCAACATTTTCATTTGAAATCCTCTTTGAAGTCATTTCCAGAAATCCCAGACTAATAACTTATTGGACACCAGTGAAGAACTTTCTAGAGTGACGTGGGTCACTTCTACACTGAGGGTCAAAGGCTGAAGACCAGTCTTCTCAGGATAAGAAGGAACTATCTTCCTTTCTTAGAGCTTTTGTCTCCTGGGACGCAAGCAGCAGCAGAAAAGCAATGATTACAACTATTGTATCTCAGTGTCCTACACTGTCTTCTATTACCTCATTTAATCCTCAGAGGGGCCTGACAAGAGGGCTGTACCCATTCTCCCCATCTTATTACTAAAGAACTGGAGGTCATAACAGTTGCAGCTAGTAGGCTCAGGAGCCAAGATTTCAATCCAGGTTTGCCAGACGTTGGACTCCAGACTTTGGACTATTCATCTACTGATCCAAAATTATAGTTCATGGTTGGCATTTTGAGTTTTGAAGTCCCAATCAGAACAGCATGAAAAGCAAGGTGCTCTTTGGAAACGCTGCATCTTACCTGTTCACAGGTTTGGGGTATAATGTAAGGTGCAGGGTAGAGTTCTTCTGTCTTACTGTTAATGACACTGCCATACACAATAATAACAATTTTCATGGTCTCTTTGTTAATGGTCAGTTCGTTATAGCTTGATAAGGTCTCCACATATGCATTGTTCAACAACACACAGCTCTCAAACTTCAGGTCCTATAAGAAAATGGCATCTTTTTTTTTTTAATAAATCATATAAACTTGATACATTGTATCAAGAAGAAAATAAATTCACTGAGGGGAGAAGGCCCATGGACCCTCCCCCACCCCCGTACCCACACCCAGAATTTATTTAGAGGTCAGGATGATGTAAAACAATCAGAATTCTGGCAGATGACCTCATTTTAGATAATCAGACATGACCTCCCGTTCTGTCATTGGAAATATGAAGTACATTTTGTTAATAAAAAAATACACTACCTAAAAATTCATTCACATTTTAATCCCATCGCTTACCTCATCATCAACAATTGATTCAAAATACTGATTTGCAATGCCAAGAGCAAACTTAAGCCATATTTTATATTCCAGGGTTGGCCAGAAAATATCAAAACCTTCGTATAAATCCTCCAAGGAGATGAAGAAGGCCTGCAGTGACAAAGCGCTCAGTCACAGCCCGCTGCATTGCAACGGAGCTGCGCTCACCACACAAGGAAAAGGACGGCTCAGGGAAGCGGAGCATAGTTGGGATTCTCTGCCGTTTAAAAGCATCTATATTATGGAAACATGGTTTGCTATGTATACAATGATTTTTTTTTTTGTTTTTTGGTCGGCCGTGGGGTTTGAACTCTGGGCCTGGGCGCTGTCCCTCAGCTCAAGGCAAGTGCTCTACCACTTCCGGTGTTCTGGTGGTTTATTGGAGATAAGAGTCTCACGGACTTTCCTGCCTGGGCTGACTTTGAACCTCGATCCTCAGATCTCAGCCTCCTGAGTAGCTAGGATGACAGGCATGAGCCACCCACGAGCCCGGCTTATAAAATAATTTAAAAAAACCAATTGTCTAATTACAACTAACTACCAACTTATTAACATGCCAGGAATATTCCAGTCAGTCTAACTGAAGGACCTAGTTCATGAGCCCCCCCCATGTTCTCTTTCTTCCTCTTCTTCTCCTCCCCGTCTTGTTCTTTTTGCTAGATCGTTTTAGGCACAGTATTACCTACTCATTCATAGTATTTGTTTGCAGAGGCAAACTATTTATCTGAATAAAGATCTTCTTTCAGAATTCAAATTAAACGAACTTTAATGAATTCACTCAGCCTTGTGACTAAATCACGCTTTCTGTCTGCTTCTAGAAATAAAATGGTATACATCGATTTTTTTTAAAATTTCACTTTGCTCCACACCTCAGATGATGGATCTTGCCCTGTCACCCCCTAACACCCCCCAAAGTTTCAGAGTTCTTTATGGCAGAAAGTTTGGCTCATTTCTGTTTGAATTGTCCAAACCAAGTGGAATGTCAGGTCATTTATTAGTTGAAGAGAAATGTATTCATCAAGTAAAAAACAGGAAGAAGGAAATTCAAAAGCAAGCCAATTAGCTGAACATGGTGGTTCACATCTGCAATCTTAGCTGCTTAGGAGGCTGTATCCAAGAAGATGGAGAGACCGGCTCCTGGTAAAAGTCTGAAACGCCCCACCTCAATGAATAGCTGCAGGCAGCGTCATACCCTTGTCCCAGGTAGCCAGAGGCGGAGCGTGGAAAGGCCGCGGTTCTGGGATAGCCCAGGCAAAAATGAGCAAATGAATACAATCAATAAAAGTTCATAAAATTCCTCCATTTCAACAGAAATTGCTGAGCACAGTGGTACACACCTGTCATTTTGGAAGCATAAAATTAAAGGATGGTGGTTCAGATATGGACCTGCCCACATACTGAGACCCTATCTCAACAACAACCAGTGCAAAAAGCGCTGGGTGTATGGCTTAGCGGTGCAGCACCCGCCTAGCAAGTCTGACAACCTGAGTTGAAACTCCGGTAGCACTAAAAACAAAAGTTATCCAGTCTTTGAAAACACTTCCAGAATGGGTGTTATTTGATCGAGTACTTACATACAGAAGGCAATTCACAGAGACAATTGTTCTAATCCTCACTTAAGTCAAATCATAGACAATTCACTTAATAAACAAGGAAATGAAGACTGGTGAGGATCAGCCAACCCCCTGGAGGTTCAACCGTCGGGGGTCACAGAGCAGCAGAGGGCTGCTTGTGAGACCTTCCTCTCCCTTCTGTCAGCTATGCTGCCCAGCCTCCCATTCGCTGGCTGGGGGCTAAGGAAGACATCTGAACCTATCGGCAGAAAAGACACCGCCATGCCTTATTTACTCAAGGAAGGATTCACTAATAACCACTAATAACCACGATGGAATTATTTCCTTACCTGTAAGGAGGTTTCACAGATGGCAGTGTATTCCATTTCCCGCTTCAGCAGACAGCTCAGCTCTCCAAGGACTTGCCCACTAGTGCAGTACTCGGTATAAAGCGTCGGTGAGTTTCTGTCGGGTGTCACTCTGTGCTCTATGCCAAAGGTGGGGGAGGAGCTGTGCAGCTGTAAGAGCAGAGAGATGTGCAAGGGAAAATAAAAATGAAAAACCCTCGGGCTTCACCGGAGACCTTCCATGGTTTCTTACAAATTATTCCAGTGGAGCAGAAATTCTTTCTTTGTGAGTCCTGCCAGGCATGAAGAAGGGGCCCAAGTCATGGTTTCTTTCACATTTTAACTTCCCAGGGCAAAGATTTTTCTCATGTGAAAAACACAGTTCTTTCTCCCCCACCACCACCTGCTTTTTTTTTTTTTTTTTTTTCAGTCATGGGGCTTGAACTCTGGGCCTGGGCGCTGTCCCTCAGCTCTTCAGCTCAAGGCTAGCGCTCTACCACTTGAGCCACAGCGCCACTTCCAGTTTTCTGAGTGATTTATTGGAAATAAGAGTCTCACAGCCTTTCCTGACCAGGCTGGCTTTGAACCGCCATCCTCAGATCTCAGCCTTGTGAGGATTATAGGCGTGAGCCACCGTCGCCCGGCTTTCCCTCCCTCTTTTTAAAAATAGTATATATTAATTACACAAAGCACCGCCTTTACTGGGTACCAGAGATTCTAGCAAGTTGTTTTCATTTTTGTTTAATACTGGGATTTTTTTTTTTTTGTTTCTCCCATTCTTTCTTCAGTGATCCATTCAAAATCGTATTGTTCAGTCTCAGTTCATTAGAATACTTTTTGTAGGTGTGGGGTAGTCTGGTTTCCTTTTTTGTTTGTTTTTAATTTTAATTTTTATTGTTATTATACAAGTAATATAGAGAGAGTGTATAGGTAATGAGTACATTTCTTTTGGGACAATGTCATCTCTCCCCCTTATTCTCTCCCAGTTGCTTGCTTGTTTGTTGCTTGCTGTTTTATCTTTGATTGATTTCTTTGTAAGTTGTCTTCTTTTGGTAGCACCAGGGCTGGAACTCAAAGATTAGTGCTCTCACTCAACTTTCTCGCTCACAGCTGGCATTCTTTAACCACTTAAGCCATGCTCCTGTCTGACTTTTGCTAGTGAATTGGAGATCGAATCTTGCGACCTTATTTTGTTCATCTTCTCCTCTCCTTCTACCCTTCTCTAGAAAATAACTTCCAAAAGGGCAGAGATTTCTGTTTTGCAATTCCTGTGCCTACTTATGATAGCAGCAAACTATTTGTTGAATGAACAAGTGTGCAAATGAATGAAACCATTTGCACAGTGCCAGACACTTTTCCAATGTGTAGCTATCATATTTATCATAGTAGCTTGTTCCTATGGTATTGCTGAAATAGTCAAAATATTAGAGTATTTTAAATATCTAAAAATTATTTGGGGAGGGGCTGGGAAGGTGGCTTAGTGGTAGAGTGCTTGCTTAGCATGCATGAAGCCCTGGGTTCGATTCCTCAGTACCACATAAACAGAAAAAGCCAAAAGTGCAAGTGGCAGGGTGCTAGCCTTGAGCAAAAGAAGCTTGGGGACAGTGCCCAGGACCTGAGTTCAAGCCCCATGACTGGCAAAAAAAAAATTATTTGGGAAATAAGCTGGGATTCCTCTCTATATTCATCTACTTAAGTACTAATATTACTAATATGAAGATATAGGAAATTATTCTAATTCTTCTACTGAAATCTTACTCTCACCAATAAGACTTCCCATTGGTCAGATGAAAAAATATTATAAATATATATGTATATATATACATTAAATATAGTGGGGTTTGAACTCAGGGCATCAATCTTACTAAGCTAATGCTCTACCATTTAAGGCATACCTCCAGCCCTGTCTTTAGCTGGTTTGTGTTTGTTTGTTTGTAGGGGTGGAGATAGGCTCTCAGAAATCCTTCTGCTTGGGCTAGGCTTGAACTACAATCCTGCTCTCAGCCCTAAAACAGCTAGGATTAAGAGTACGAGCTGCTGGGTTTAGGATTGCATTCAAAGCCAGCTCAGGAGGGAAAGTCTGTGAAATTCTCCAATTAACCACCAAAAAGCCAGAAGTGGAGCTATGGCTCAAGTGGTAGAGCTTTAGCCTTGAGAGAAAAAAAGTTCAGGGATGGCACTCAGGTCCTAGGTTCAAGCCCCAGAACCAGCTCCCCCCTCCCCCCCTGCAAAAAAGGATGAGCCACTGATGCCCAGCTAAAAGCTGGCATTTGTGTCCTACTTGCCCGCCATGAAGATGTGACTTGCAGCCAGCCCATAATTCCTGAATTCTCCCTTCCCTTAGGTGAGGGATTTAAGCTACTCAAAGTATCAGCTTGCTAAGAAACACTGCTTCTCCCAGGACTGTCAAGGAGATAAATAATGGCTCAACCACAGTATGTGAGATCAGAAGCACCTTTGGGTTTGAGTGTGAACATTCTGTCTCAGCTGTAGTGCTTACTCTGAAGAGAGACTCAGAGACTCCAACATTTAAACTTTCTCAGTCCCTAAATATCTTACATAAGAATTAGACATTTCTTAAGGAAAGAATCAATAGTTCCTTACAGTGGCCATTCCTGAAATAATTAAATAGATTCCCTGTGGCATTTCCCCTTCTCTGAAAATGACATCTCCATAGTCATAATGAGCAAGTCTGGTTCTTTCCTAAACAGAAAAAAAGAAAAGGAAAGAAATCACCACACACACTGTAGTTGACTTTTCCAAATAGAAGTTAAAATTTAAAGATTAAAAACAGTTTTAAACTAGGGCTTGGAATGTGGCTCAGTGGTAGAGGCTTGTCTAGCATGCAAGAAGCCCTGGGTTCGATTCCTCAGTACCATATACATAGAAAATGCCGGAAGTGGTGCTGTGGCTCAAGTAGTAGAGTGCTAGCCTTGAGCAAAAGAAACTCAGAGACAGTGCCCAGGCCCTAAGTTCAAGGCCCAGGACTGGGAAAACAAAAAATAAAGAACAGTTTTAAACTAACATTAAAATGCAGATGACATTGTTGGTGTATTAAGAAACCACAGCATGTAGAAAGAACACATCAACAGTTAGAAGAAAAACGTCAGGGAAACAAAGAATAGACTTGGTGATTAGTACCTAGTACCTAGAGTAGCAAGTGATATGAACATTCAGTAAATATTACACAATGAACTGGGAAATTAATAAAAAGCTTCTTTTTTTGTCAGTCTTGCGGCTTGAACTCAGGGCCTGGGCACTGTTTCTGAGCTTTTTTGCTCAAGTCTAGCGCTCTACCACTTGAGCCACAGTGCCATTTCTGGCTTTTTTCCGAGTAGTTTATTAGAGATAAGAGTCTCATGGACTTTACTTCTCAGGTTGACACTGAATCACAATCTTCAGATCTCAGCCTCCTGAGTAGCTAAGATTACAGGCCTGACATGGTATCATGGGAAACTAGGCAAATTTCCTCCATCACAAAGACCTTTCAGTTAGATTGCATAGACATTTATAATGAAGTATAATGGTTACGCCAAAGGACATAGGGGCAGCTTCCTGAGGGAACACAGAAAGGCCACAGGACCTTGGCTATTCTGTTATGTTCATTACTTTAATGGAGGAAGAGGCCTATTGAGGAGAGTCAGAATGAAGCCCTAGGAAAAACCAGCTGGAGAGGTGGTCAGGGCCAGGTCTGGAAGGGTCTCAGGGGCATGCTGAAGAATTTGGCCTTCCCACTGCCTCCCACCTCAGGAGACTGAGAACTGAAGATCATGGTTCAAAGCCAGCCAAGACAGGAAAAGGCTATGAGACTTTTACCTCTAATTAACCACCAAAAAGCTAGAAGTAGAGCTGTGGCTCAAGTGGTCAAGCACTAGCCTTGAGCACAAGAGCTCAGGGACAGTGTCCAGACCCTGACTTCAAGCCCCAAGACTGGCACAGGCACCAAAAAACATTTTTAAACCCTTGTCAGTAGCCATTTAAGACAAAGACCGAGACACCAACTGGTGGTCTATGGTTAAGCCCAGCCCACAGAAACTTGTTAACCTGACCGATATTTTTTAAATTTGTATTTAGTGGTCATTTCTTTTAATTTGGAAATTTCACACAAAGTTTTAGATTTGTAATATCTCTTGGGAGCAGAGAAACAGTCTGACCTCAACCTTCTTTAATCTGCTAATTATTTTCACCCTTCATTTTGCTATATCTCAGCCTCACTTCGCATAATCTATCAGCGTTCCCCTTCTTGAAAGAAGATACCACTCACTTTTAGTATGCCTCTTGCTCCGCAATTCTTTTGGCCAGTTTCTCCTCAACGCTACATCTCTAATTGTTGAATCACTCTAGATTCAACCCTGGGTTATCTTGTCTCTAGCCATCTTTATTCCTTAGATAATCTCATTAAGTTTCAAGATTTTTACAGCTCTAAAATGTCAGCCTCCACCTTGGCCTCCCATCTGGAAGCCAGTTGGGATACCCAACTGGCTGCTTGGCATCTCCACGTGTAACTCATTCAGAATCAGATGTTTTCCTTATGCCTCATGAATCTCTTTCCTATCTGGAGAAATGGAAATGTCATTCTATTTCCAAACTAAACTCCTAGAACGTTTCTCTCAGTCTCTATTTCTCTACATCTATAGATACCTTTCTAGAGATACTTTTCCTTTTCTTCCTCCCTCTCTTCTCCATCATCTATCAGCTTCAAAATACATCAAGAATCTGACCACTTCTCAGCACCTTCATGAAGGTCCGGGTGAAAGGCACTAACATCATTCTCTTGCTGCCTTCGTTATGCTTGTCTCCTAACTAGGCAGTTACTTGCCCTTGACTTCCTATAGGCTATTTTCAACATGGCAGCGAAGTTGTCATTCTTATATCTAAGATCCTGTCACTTCTCTGCTCAAAACTTCCCAGTCACTTTCCATTCGATTCAGAGTCAATGCCCAAGTTCTTACAGCAGGCCACTGATTTCGACACACTCTGGTTCACCGCAGTAGCTCTGACAGCCTCTCCTCCCTCAGCTCCGCTCCTGTCTCAGTGCTCTGTGGTGCTCCTTTGAACATGCTGGGCATCTCCATCTCAAGGCCCTGCACTGGCAACTTCCTTTGCCTGGAAGGCTCTTCGCCAAGACATTGATGTGGCTCATCTTCCAGAGCTCTCTTCCAATGTCATCTCCTTAGAGCAGCCTTCCCTGGTCCCTCTGTATAAAACAGCTGCTCCAGCACGTTCCCTCCTCTCACCTTATTTTACTCCATCACGCTTGTCACCCTCGGACAGCTGTATAATCATGGTTGACTTGCTTATTGTCTATCTCCACCCATGTACTATAACAAAGGCTATACACTTGTTTCTGGTACCTAGAGGCATTTGATAGACATTTGTTGAAAGGATCCAAATTCCTAGAGCAAACCTCAGCTAACTTCAGACAGAGAATGAACTCAGTTTAAAGTTACTACACTCCACGAAGCTGGTTTTATTTTTAGGTAATCTGGTTGGCTTGTATAGTAGTTTAAATTTGAGACCTTTGCTAGAGAAAAAAAGTTTCTTTAAGTATGAATGTGGAAGTTCAGACTCTACTACATAAAATAGGATGGTATTAGTAATCATCAGAAGATCAGGAAACACGAATAGCTCATCAGCCCATCGTAAGCAAATAAGCCATTGTGGAAAACTGCCTAACCTTTAGGCTCAAAAGGAAATCTACTCTTCCTCCAAGCTTTACGGAGTTTCCGTTTGCTTTTTTCTGAATTGCCAGTATAGGATACATGCTTTGAATGTTTCCAATACAAGGGGAAAATCTTTAAACATAACCCTTAAGCCAGACACAGGATGACCCATTGCAACAATGATACTCACAAGACACTATGTTGGAAATGAACTTTACAACTTGTAGAGGGAGGTGGGAGAGGGAAGGGATAGTAGGAGAAAAACAAAGGAAGAAATGTACTCATTGCCTGACTCATGTAACTGTAACCTCTCTGCACAGCATCTTTACAATAAAATAAAAATTAAAAAAAAAACCTTTGAGCCAGACAGAAGATAAAATCTTTACCTTGAAGAAATTAATAAGAATGTCTTTCTTTTCCATCCAGACAATGTTAGGAAGGTAATTGTCGGGGGTTGGGGGTGGGATTGACATTGGAAAGTTATTCAGTGCTTTAATTTTTGAAAGCAGTACCTAAAACAACAATGGAAATAATCAGGTCCTACAACAGAAAATGGGTAGCGGGCAAAAAGTAAATAAACTGCAACCGTTATATAACACATTTATCTTGAGTTTCGACTTACTCATACCTTCTCTCATCCTATGCAAATTATGCTCTAATTATTTTGGTTCCTAATCTCTTCCCCTTACTATTTTTACTGCTCAAACTCAGACTGAACTTTTCATCTTTAGAATTCAGGTCACATTCATCTTACCGACTTTGTCTTAATCCCAAATTTTCTACACTTTCACACTGATTGCCATATAAATGATTGCCAAGTGCTCTTGATTTTCTTTCTCTTTACATATACGAACGACCCCCTCTGCTAAAGCAACCATGCAGCCTGGGGTGTGAGGTTGAAGAATCAGGCAAAGTGCAAATTGTTTCATTACCTTATTCATCTCAATGCCTTCATGCTTGTCAATAATGCCTCTTGACCACAGGAAAGTAAGATTTTTCAGAGCCTTAGCGATCACATTCTGGATTGTCTGTTTAGTCTTCAGAGCGATGACAACATCACGGCCCTCATGTTCTATGAGGCCTGGTGAGCATAAAACCTGGTAAGCAACCTGTACACAATGACCACTTACGTTTATGATATAGTTTGTAATTTCCAAAGCACCTTCTCAATAGCCTGTGGTTCTCACTTTACAGAACTCAGGGGCTGCTAGGGTGAATTTTCATCTCCATTGCATGGATGAGACATTGAAAACTAGCATCCTCTACCAGAGAAGCTACGTATCTCTATTGGGCACCTCGCCATGGTAGAGTATTCGTATTTTTACTTATCTGTCTCCCCGTCAATTTTGCATCATTTTTGTTGGTTGGATAAATAAAGGACTGAATGAAAAAATGAAGAGACCCCAGACTTTGGCCGGTAGGTCTTTCTGAGATCAAAAGAAAGAGTCTTTCCACATTAGCCCAATGAGAGAAATCTTGAACTACACTGAATAGAGGCTAAAGCTTTTTCTTTCATCTTTGGGATCCTAATGTTGAGCACAATGCCTGACACAGGGATGGCTCTCAGATATTTTTGTTTCCCACTGAAATGAGGTCAAAGGATGCAGAGCTCAGCTATCCGGGTCAGGTTAACCAGAGCCAGGATCTGGCCCAGCCTTTCTAGCCACAGGGCCTCAGCGAAGCAAACCTCTCTCAGCCTCGTGAAGATGGTAATAGTTTGCCTGATAATGCTAAGGATTCCGTGAGATGCTCAGCACAAGGCTTTCCATGCCTTTGAGGCACTTTGGCGTCTGACATAGTAAGTATCCAATAGTTAACTGCAGTAGACATCTGGAAACAGGCATTCCCCTTTCCGGGACGGAATCAAGAAAATGTTTGTAATTGTTCATACTGATCGAAAACGTAATGCACCATCTCCTACGCCTCTGGGTCTTTAAAAGCTTAGAGATTAAAATCTACCTATACACAAATGGTAACAAGGGGCCCAAGGCTTTCTGAAATAGCACCAGAACATTTCGTTCTGTTGTCTCCTAACTTATATTTCCATTCATTAGTTCAATGTTCTTTCCATTTTGATTTGGAAAGCACTATCTCTAAATCCCTATGACACCTTACAGTGTGGTCATGACCACTAAATAGTCTTAGTTTATTTTTTTCTGGTAATATCTATTTATTACATGTTTACCATAGGCTAGGACACCTGCCAGATGCTTTTCTACCCACCGAGAGCCTGGCCGTGATCCCATGTGAAAAAATAAACCCAAGACCCTTAGCCTGCAACCCTGGGCTCCTGCTGTGTGATCCAAGTAAAACTTAGTGAGTGCCACCTCTAAGAAATCCCATCACATACAGCCCTGCATTCTGGATCATACTTGCAAAAACAAAGGAAAATAACTTAGAGATAACCTTCACATCTTTTTTCTTACACTGTATCTGGCCTTGCCATCCTACCACACTTCCCAGCCATACTCCCACACTTTGCATCCTTTCTTCCACTCTCCCACAGGAAATAACAGGGGTCCTGCTATTTTCTGCACCTATCTATTGGCATGCTCGGACGGTGCAACCAACCTCACTTTTTAGTCTACCCATCTTTCCTTTCCCACAGTTAATACTTTACTGTGCTCAAGAATCACTGAATCAATCAATGAATAAACACAGGAATCAATACATGCATTTATCCTCCTGTTAAAATTATGGAATCATAAAGTGTGATTTCAAGACACCAAATTCTCCAGCTACTTGCCTAGTTCTTTGACAGCATCTCGTTTGTTTGTTTCCAAAATTTCATATAATTTCTGTAAGAAATTAAGAAAAACATACATTTTTTCCCTTTTACCAAATGGCTTTACATTCTGATTTAAAAGAAGGGGAGGAGGAGGAAGAGGAGGGGGGGGAGCATAGAGGAAACTGCACCTCCTTAGGTTGAAAGGAGCCATTTGGCTCAATTATTCCTCTGGTCAGTTCTGCTGTTTTTCCTGTGCTGAGACCCAAACCAGGATGAATGTTGTACAGTTGGTATTTTGCAGAGTTATTGCAGCTAATATAGTTGTCAAAAATAAAAAGATTAGAATGTGCCCCCCTTTGCACCAGTGGGAATTCTTCCAGGCAGAGTTCAATTTGGAGTGTCAATTAGTTCATGTTTCATATATATAATGACACATCCAAATAACAGGGGTCCTGCTATTCTCTGCACCTATCTATTGGCATGTGTCAATAGTGTCAATTAGTTCATGTTTCATATATATATATATACATATATATATATGTATATATATATATATATATGACACATCAATTGAACTCTGCCTGGAAGAATTCCCACTGATGCAAAGTGGGGCACATTCTCATCTATAGATACAGATATAGATATATCCTGAAATAACTGAAGGAATAGCTCCACCCAAGGCAAACCAACCTCTGATCAATCAAACACACAAGATATTTGTCCAGTGCTCACAATGTCCCAGGCACTGTTCCTCGCAAAGAGCACTGTGACTTAGAGTCTTTCTGAAATATGTCCTTGGCCACACCAGCAGCTCTAGGATTATACAACTAACAGTTCTGCACAGTTGCCAGTCTGGGTTTCTGAAACTGCCTTCAGTAAGGTATGGTACCCTGTCATTTAAAGGAAGCAAAGGGACTGTTATCAAAATCTTAAGCAAAGTGAAATTCTGCTCTAAAGCAGAAATCATGGGTAGTTAATCTCTCATCTTGAACATACAAATGTGGTATACAGTTTTTATTAAATTGCTTCTTCTTCTCACTTAATAACATTGAACCAGGCCAGGAATAGTGTCTTAAGCCTGTAATCTCAGTTACACCAGATGTATAGATCAGGAGGATCATAGTTTGAGGCCAAACTGGAAAAAGTTCCAGTCTGTTTCAATAAATAACTAGGTATGATAGTGCTTCACATCTCTCATCCCATTCTCTCAGCTCTGAGAGAATGTAAACAGGAGGATTCAAGTCGAAGATCACCACACATAAATGTGCAAAATTTAATTAAAATCTCTTGTACAATTCTTCTAATATCTACCTCCCAAGTAACGAGGATTGCAGGCATGAGCCACAACACATGTCCAGCTAAGAAGAATGTTCCGACCTCCTTCAATGTCATGACAAACAGAAAATAAAGAGAATTTAAAGATTTCAAAGCGTTAAGTACATATGCATATTATTGAAATTACTACTTAAAGCAGTAGAGGAATTTAACATAGGAAAGGTTCCTAAGGGGTAGCTGTGGACGTGGTAGTGGAGAGAGCAGAAAGGGATGTTTTTCCCCCACAAATAAGACTTTCTGCTGCTGTATTTAAAGTCTGAGTTTTAGGCAGATTGTGCCTCATTGCCAAAAGTTGCTCTATAACAGCAAAACTTGTGGAGTTCTGCATGTTCCAAATTCAAATTTGGGCTTCCTCGACATTTCCACTTCTAATGAGGACATCGTGAAGAAGACAAAGCGATTGGCAAATTCCTTCTCTCTCTCTCCTCTCTTTTCTCTCTTTCCTCCTTCCTTTCTTCCTTATCTTCCTTCCTTCCTTCCCTCCTTCCTTCCTTTCTATCTTTCTTTTTTTGTGCCAGAAGCAGGGCTTGATCTCCCTAGTGCTATACCATTTGAGCCATGACTGTAATCTAGCATTTGGCTGGCTAATTAGAGATGGAGGTTTGCAGACTTTTCTGCCTGGGTTGTCTTTGGACCTCAATCCTCCATGTCTCAGCCTCCTGAGGAGCTAAGATTATAGGTCTGAACCACATTGTCAGTTTATGCCACGCCGACTCCAGTGGAGTCTGCTTAGCATGGGAAACCATCTTTCAGACCTGAGAAAGGGGCTTCAGAGACCTATCTCCGAGTATTGGGACTTCACCGAAGTCTGCCTCGGAGAATGGGGCTTCTAAGAGGCCTACTCCTGGAAAGGCTGGCAAACCCCTGGGAAAGATGTGTTTCTGCCTTTCTTTTCCTCACTATTAATCTTTTACTGTTTCTACTGCTCTTTGTACTTACTCATTGTCAACGTTCCCTTATTCAAAGCTCTTTCTTAAGAGTGTTGACGACTCCAATATTTGATGAGTGTCTTAAAAATATGACTAACTCACCAGAGTTAAGTGCTACCCTGAAACCCCTCTTATGGAGGCTAGTAGACAAGTCATAAGTAAATATAAAAGTATTGGGGGTTTCACGAAGTCACTTCAGCAGAAGGAATTGTTTGTAAGGGATTTACAAGAAGCTGTAGGCTCAGCTAATACAGAAAGAATGTATGGCAATTGCTGAGACAATTATTTAGGAGAAAGAATTTCCTGCTATTTACTAAGAGACTTGCTAGATCCAGGTCTCCTTGAGGTTTACTATTAAAGAAGAAACAGGAAAGATCTTATGGGAAAGCTAAGGCCTCTATAAAGATAGGTAATGGTTAATTGGTGACAAACATCGTAATCGTTGTATTTCTTAGAGATAAGCCGGAAACAAGTGCCTATCAGGTGACCAGCTGGTGACCACCCAAAAATGAAGCCATGCAGCAAGATTGTGTAACCTTTTGCCCTTTCTCATGAAGACTTCTGTTATAAAAGTTTGTTATCCTCTGCATTAAATCGCACTCAGCATCCACTCCTCTTGTGTGTGAGTTGTCTGTTTGCCATCTCCCCATCCTATTCCAGGTTCCTCCCCTAGGTGTCCTCCGTCGTCCCGACAGAGCCCGGTCCGCGGCAAGTTTATCCAACATTTATTATCATCTTCCCAGATGTGGTAGACCTATTGGTATGAAGCATAAAAATTCTTCCATATCTAACTGGCGTGTGTGTATGTGTGTGTTTGTGTGTGTGTTTGTGTGTGTGTGTGTGTAGGGTGTTACATATACAAGACAAAGGGTAAAGAGATCAAAAACAGACAGGAATAAACCAAAGAAAAAAGGAAAGAAGAAGGGGAAAAAAAGAACTGTAAATAAATACAATTTTTAAAACTCTTACATTTCTTAGCGTTCATTTCAATAAGCATTATTTTATATGATCTTATTATTTGAGCCTTTGCAATCCTTTCCTAAGAATATCCTCTTTTGGTCTCACCGTGTGAATGTCTAAAGTCCTGTATAATTTATTATGTCCAAGTGTATTTTTTGTCTTTACCATCCAGTGTGTTTCCTCATAGATCTATATGCACTTCCTAGTTATCACAAGTGAGGGAAACCATGTAGCCTGTTTCCTTGGGTCTGGCGTCCTTCTCTTAGTATACTTTTTTCCAATTCTTTCCATTTCCTTACGAATAGGGCAATGTCATTTTTTCTGATAGAAGCATAGAATTCCACATGTTCTTGATCCATTTGTCCACTGAGGGCCATCTGGGTTGCTTTCATATCTTGGCTATCATAAACAATAAGCCCAGCTTTTTTGTTGTTGTTGTTGAGGTAGGGGGTCTTGCTAACTTTACATTCGGCTTCTCCTTGAACGGTGATCATCTCAATCCCAAGTAGCTGGGACTTCTCGTATGAGCCACCACAGCAAGCCCTGCTGAATTCACTTTTAGAGTGTGTGTTACAAAAAGACACACTTTCTTCCCTACCCTGTACAAAGTATCTAAATCATTTATTATCTGCTCTGGAGATAACAAGTGAGCTTGGTGGTAACTGCAGAAACAGAAGTGTCAGAGACGATTCTCTGCAACAGCTCATGTAACACAAGGAACCACTGACTCTCTTTCAACTAGAATTTGTGTTTGACCAACTATACATCAAAATGATCTTGAAAGAAATGAGCACATCTAAGTGCCTTCTCTCCCTGCCCCCACCAAAAAAAAAAATGCCAATGCTTTTTCTCACCTGATATATTGATTCACGGCCAGAAATGTGTTTTACTAAAAGCTTGGCATCTTCTTGACTTTTGACATAGCCTTTGGTAATACTATACATCAGGCTGAGACGCTTTTTCATCTGTATTTCTGCAATGTTGATCAAGAACGGCACCACCATCTGGAATCACAAGGAGGAAACAAACAAACAAACAGACCTGTAAGTTTCATAAGGAAAAGCACGTTCCAAGAAGGAGGTTCTCAGGGTGTCATCTCCAAACCAGCCAGGTGGCCCCACCCAGCCCTGCTGAGTCAGATGCTCTGGGGTGGGCCCCACAATCCGTACTTTAGTTGCCAAGTCTTCCAGCAGGTTCTATGGGTGTTCAACTTTAAGTTCCACTCTTAAAGACTTGTTAGCATCCCTGTCCCCTTCATTGTAAGCACTCAGATTGCAGGAAACCAAAGTAGTGTTCCCGGAAAGCTGGGTACTAGTTGCGAGGTGAATGAATCGTCTCTCCACACCTCGGACCCTTCATTTGCAAGGGAAGGAGACTTAGGATCCTGGAGATTCTTCTTAGCTCTAAATGTCTCTGATCGTTGTCAGAGCAGCTACTGCAGTGATTTCAGAGAATGAGATTTTAAATATAAACCTGCCTAGGTTCAAATGCCACTTCTTCTATAGCTCTGTGAGCGTTGAGCGAGTGAGTGATTTTTGAGGTGACGCTGTCATCTCCTTGTGTGTTAATGAGGATAATAATATCTAAGCACCAGAATTCCAGGGGGAGCTTCTTTCTCAAAAGCAAACCTGGTCAGTGGCATAGCGCGATAGCGCGGGACTCCCCACCGGGGAGAAGCCGTCCCAGAGCACATGAGGAGGTGCTGGGTAGCGAGGGAAATAAAAGTAGTCAGGAAAATAGTATCAGAGCAAAGGAACTACAAGGGCAGAGAAAGGAGAGCTATTTTGATGATGAACACTGGGCAAAAGAGGGAGATGTTTAGAGACCCTATTTCAAAGCTTTCCTCCCATGATGCACTGGTGCCCACTGGGTTGGTCCAGGGGGCATCTGAGGATCTCCTGTATTCTTCCCAGCTTGCCAACGCTCTTCAAGGCTGCATTATATCATATGGCTCTTAGGGTACCTGACTTCATCTAGTGCCAACACCTATCTCCCAAGACTATTCTGATAACATTACTGCATAATGTATGTCAAGTGCTGTACACAGGACCTGGCAAAAAGAAAGTCAATGCTTAACAAACAAACCAAAAAAACAACCCCTAATCATTGTAACATTGATTCTAGATATATGCTCCTGCTTGGAGAAGTACTCCTATTCTGATTCCTTCATTCAGCAAGTGTTTATTAAGTACTAACAACACATTGGGCACTGTGCAAGAGCCATGTGTTACAGCAATGAGCCAAAAGCAGAGCCTTCTGCACAGAGTGGAGGCATAAATAATAGTAAGCAAGCGCAAAGTATTCTGGAGAGAAACAGAGAAGCGAAGCATGGACAGGGGGAGCCAGGGAGTGTGCAGGGGTGTGCAGGGCAGGTCTCCTTTCACAGTGGGTGGTTGGCAGAAGGCCTCCAGCCAAGCTAGATGTGAGCAATGGTGTGAAGTCGAAGAGGGAGTAAACCAAGCACCAAAGTATTGGAAGAGTACTTCGAAGAATGAGCAGCTCTTGTCCGCATATTTTTCAAAGCAGTGAGGTTTCTTAAATCATTTGATAAACTGTGTAGAAAAAAATGAATATATTAATTGGGCACCAGTGGCTCATGCCTATAATCCTAGCTACTCAGGAGGCTGAGATCTGAGGAACGTGGTTCAAAGCCAGCCCAGGCAGGAAAAGTCCGTGAGACTCTTATCTCAATAAACCACCAGAAAAATAAGTGGTGCTGTGGCTCAAGTGGTGGAGCACTCACCTTGAGCTGAAGAGCTGAGGGACAGCGCCCAGGCCCAGAGTTCAAACCCCATCACCAATACCCGCCCCCCGCAAAAAAAAATCAGTATACTAAAATATGAAGTCTTACCTTAAAGAGAGGTAGAAACCGAATTACTCTTAAATATCCCATGACCACAGTAAATTGGATGAGAAACAAGTTGTCTGGTCTCAGTTTAACAAAGTATATGCAAAAGATATCAATGATTCCAATAACCATGATAAAAAACTCCAAAACATTCCAGTGTTGACGGAAATACACTCTCTTCAAAATTAGCAACTGTTTAAACAATAATCAGAATGAATGTCATTTTATAACAAGTAAATATTGATGTAGGGGTAAGGATCTTTTAAATTAACAGTAAATGCTTCTGTTACAAATAAGTAACATTCCCAAAGTTAAGCTTTAATTTATTCATTTGGAATTCCCTAAAATTCTTTTTAATCTCCAGCAACAAAATATTATCCAAAATATGAAATATAAAAAAGCAAGATTTAAAAATAACAATACACAGCTAAGCTGTCTTTGAAGAACTTACCCTAACAAGCATCTCATATTCTGAGAAGGATTTGCAAAACAATTAGCATTTATTCACTTATCTCTGCCTTTCATTGTTACAGAAAATATTTGGGAACACGATCTATGTCTAGATTTTCAATTTTTAATTTACTTTTCCTCAATCCATGAGATTCTTTCTGCAGTTTCCAAGGCTCTGTCTATTTTTACTGATTTCATTATTAAACCCACAAAATTCAGAAGGGCCACTAATATTCCAGGATTCCATCAACTATAATAACAAATGGCTTCTAATATCAAGTTGTTTGTATACGACAAATATAGTCAAAATATCTGAATTGTTCTTTTCATAGACTACATTACTATTAAACAGTACCTTTGAGGCTGATTCTAATACATATAAAAACACAAAGTAGTGGTTTATTGATATCAGTGCTGACACGTTTAACTCTCTTGCCATTGGCCATATGTGCATGACCATAGGGAAAATATATATCAGTGTTATGACATGTCTTGTATATTCATATTCTTCTGAACTTATGATACTGTATACAAAAACAATCAGCTTGTTACTCCTGAAAAAAAGATTAGGTAAAATGTCAGATCATTTAAATATCACCATTAAGAGCTGAAGTATAACATTTGGTTGAACATATCACTCAAATAATGCAAAAAGAACATGTGTGTGTGTGTGTGTGTGTGTGTATATATATATATATATATATATAATGTAAAGCAATAAGAAAGAATAAGGCTGGGAATGTGGCTTAGTGGTAGAGTGCTTGCCTAGCATGCATGAGGCCCTGGGTTCAATTTCTCAGTACCACGTACACAGGAAAAGCTAGAAGTGGTGCTGTGGCTCAAGTCCCTTGAGCCAAAGCAGCTCAGGGACAGTGCCCAGAGTTCAAGCCCCAGGACTGGCAAAAAAGAATAAAATTCAAATCATATCTACAGAATGGAAAAAGAGTTTTAAAAACATAACTTATTAGCCGGGGACAGGAAGCTTTTCTTTCTTTTCATTTACTTTTTTTTTTTTTTTTGTGCTCAGGTTTTGAATTCAGGATTTCTCACTTGCTAGGGGGCACCCTGCAACTTGAGCCCCCTCCCCCAGTCCAGCCCTTATTGCTGCATTTTTCAAATACAGTCTTAGTTGGTTTGTTTGTTTTTCCCAGGCTGGCCTCAGACCACAGTCCTTCTACTTATGCCTCCACTGAGATAGCACTTATTTGCTGATAGAATATTTCTCTTTGCCTGGGCTGGTATTGAATCACAGTCTCATCTCTACCTCTTGAGTAGCAGGGATTACAAGCTCTCTCACCATACCTAGCCAAGAGAGCATTTTTTATTCTTTTTATTTTATTTTATGTCTTTCTTTTGTCAGTCGTGAGGCTTGAACTCGGCCTGGGCGCTGTCCCTGCACTCTTCAGCTCAAGGCTAGTGCTCTACCACTTGAGCCACAGCACCACTTCCCATTTTCTAGTGGTTAATTGGAGATAAGAGTCTCACAGATGTTCCTTCCCAGGCTGGCTTTGAACCATGATCCCCAGATCTCAGCCTCCTGAGTAACTAGGATTACAGGTGTGAGCCATGGGCACCAGCTCATTTTTTAGTCTTTTATTGTTATTATAAAGGTGATGTACAGAGGGTTTACAGTTACATATGTCAGGAAACGAGTACATTTCTTTTCGAACAATATCACCCCTTCCCTGCTCTCAGTTTTTCCCTCCCATTCCACCCAAAGTTGTATATAGTTCATTTTCTACACAGTGTCTAGTGAGTACCACTGTTGCATTTATTCACCCTTTGTCTCTCCATTTCTGTGCCCCCCTTACCCTCCCAAAGACAAAAAAATGAACAAACAAGACAAAAAGAAAAACAGCAATAAAGAAAAAGCCTCTTATTCCATCTCCTAGAGTTCATTTCAATAAATATGATTTTATGTGAGCGATGTACATAGGCATCGAACATTTGTGTTCTTCTCCTAAGAGTGTCTTCCTTTGGTCTCACTGTATGTGAATTACTAGAGTCCTGTATAATTTATCATGTCCCAATATAATTTAAATCTAGCTACTACGCATAAGAGAAAACTTTTTTTTCTTTTTTCTTGCTTATGTGGTGCTGAGGAATCGAACCCAGGGCCTCATGCATGCAAGGCAAGCACTCTACCACTGAGTCAACTTCCCAGCCCAAGAGAAAATTTTCTAGAGAGCATGTTTAAATGAAAATATTCACAAGTTAAAAGCAAGAAATAACCAGGCATGTTGGCACACACCTGTAATCCCAGCACTAATAGGCGGCAAGTTAAGGTCACCCTGGGCTACATTGTGAGCTCCAGGCTAGCCTAAGCTAAATCTGAGCATGTAGGAAGACCCTGTCTCCAAAAGAAAATAAAACAAGAGACAAATAAATGTAGAGGAAAATGAATTGCTTAAAATAAAAACAGTAAGGGATGGTAGGGGAAAAATAAAGGAGAGTATAACAATGCTTGATAGGAAATGTACTCATTACCTTGCTCATGTGACTGTAACCCCTCTGTACAGTATCTTTACAATAGAAATATGTATTAAGCAAAAACAAAAAAATAAAAAAATTCTATCCAATAGTTGCTATGACATATTTCTTCAAACTTTCCAATCCATCTAAAATGGAGCCTGTGCCAAGAGTTCCCTTTATGCCAAGATCATAGGGTTTTATTTATATCCTTTCTCAATTTATTAAATGAAAAAAGCAAAAGTTATCAGATTTATAAAAGTTTTTTTAATCACTTAAAAACAAGCAGCATTTAACATTCATGATATGCTCTTATTTTGGCGTCTACGGGGTTTTTTTTTTGTTTTGTTTGTTTTTATTTTTTTATGATTGTAGAGCTTGAAGTTAGGATCTGGATGCTGTCCCTGAGCTCTTTTGCTCAAGGCTAGTGCTCTACCACTTTGAGCTACAGCTATACTTCCAATTTTTCTTGTAGTTATTTGGAGACAAGAGTCTCACAGACTTTCCTGCCTGGGCTGGCTTGAACCATGATCCTCAGATCTCAGCCTCCTAAGTAGCTAGGATTACATGTGTGAGTCACCAGTGCCCAGCTGGTATCTACTATTGAAAGAAAAACCTGACTGCCATATTTAAAAATTTGTAAGCTCACAATCTGTATAACAAAGGTGTCTATCCGAGTTGAGTAAAATCATACTTTGTGATATATTAGATAACTGATGCTGTAAAGGTCATTGACATGTCTACCCTCTGCTATGTATGTTTTTCCCAGGTGAATATGCAAGCAGCTTGCACACCATAGAGTCCTAAAACATCAACCCCTCTCTCTTACTGCCCATGTTTTACTAGAGAGTTCAATGACATTGCTAAAACAGAATGGAAGAAGAGAAGCAAACACTGTCCCCATGCCCCCCAATCAATGAGCTTACCATCATATTACTTTCACTCTGTGTGCGTGTGTGTGTGTGTGTGTGTGTGTGTGTGTGTGTCCTGGGGCTTGAACTCAGGGGGCCAGGGCACTGCCCCTGAGCTTTTGTGCTCAAGGCTAGCACTCTACCACTTGAGCCACAGCTTCACTTCTGGTTTTCCAGAGACTAATTGGAAATAAGAATCTCACAGACTTTCTTGCCCAAGCTAGCTTTGAACCCCAATTCTCATATCTCAGCCACCTGAGAAGCTAGTCTTATAGATGTGACCCACCAGTGCCTGTTTTGTTTCTAAATAAAATTCACGGTGATCTAGTCTGAAAATAGAGAAATAGTCATCTATTCAAGTGTATTATTATTAAAGTTTCACAGTACTTACCCAGATGGAATAAAAGATGTATTTTCTTTACGATATTCCAGGTAAGATAACATGTTTTTAAACTTCATAAGCCAACTTCTAGATCTGACATAAGTTGAAACATCATAAATATTCATAAATCTAAGAAAAAGCATGCATATATGTTATAATAGAAAGCAAATGACTTACTGGGAGTAATACAAAATGGAAGGTTAGACTAAATATAAATAAATGGTCCTACTAAAAATGCTCACCCAATCTCAAGCCTCTGCACACTTATCTCTCTAACCAGGGTCATGATACAGGAACACTAGTAACATCAGACTTGTGCCCTTGTTCCAAGAACCATTCCTGATCTGAGATCAAAGACAAAGCTTCTCTAGAGTAGTCCTTTGAGGTTCTGGAATCCAGCTTCTTTTTGTCAGCATTGCTTGACAACTGAGTGAAGGTTCTAGCTTTTCCAGGGACTGATACCAGATCTCCCAAAGAGAGGACCAGGCTGCTGAAGTGATAACTACCACCCAGCTGCTTCCCCTCCCGCTGCCCCTCAGCTTTGCCTCAGATCATCCACTAGCTAATGTTTGCCAGGACTATGACCAGATATTGAGGAATCGGTAAGACACTGAGTATTTCCCACCAGATTTCTTTACATCGCCCAATACCAGTGCTAGGGCCAATTCGTCCAGAGCCTGGTCCTCCCCAGAAGCCAGACTCCAAGAATTTACTGACTGTGATATAATGGCAAAGTAATGTGAATAGTAACTGAAGCTATGCCAGCTCTCATTCATGAGAGCTCATCACATTGTAGTCACACTTTCCTCCAGAACCCCTAATGTCACGGACGTTATAAAACCGCAGAGGGACAGGCAATCGAGGAAAACAGAAAGGAGATAAACAGACAGATACATGGACATCGCTGAGCTAATAAATTGATCTATCTGGACACTTCTCACTGTTCAGTATTTATCACACACAAGTTCCATTTTGGGAATATCAAAGAGTTACAGAAGTATCATATACTTACTTTCCTTTGATGGGGCAAAAGCTTTTGGTTGCACCAATTAATATCCGGGCTGCTTCTACTCCAAGGATTCCATTGTTACATTGTTTTTCAAAGCTACTCTAGACATACAATTTTAAATGAAAATTATAAAGGATCAAAACATCCATGTAATACACCCTGCTTCATCCTTCTGTGGTCTGAACTGTTATTACTGAACTGTGTACAATTGTCCCTCTGCACCCATGTGTTCTGCACCCATGAATCCAATCAATCACAAACAGAAAATGCTCAGAAAAAAATACATCTGCAGTGAACATAGACTTTTCTTTATAATTATTTCCCAAATATTATAATGTAAGAACTATTTACAGAGCATTTGCATTGCATTAGGTATTATAAAGAATCCAAAGATTACAGAAGTATAGAAAAGGGTGTACATTAGTAGGTTATAGGCTAATACTAAGTGAAAAGCATTCACAGGTTTTGGTATTCATGGTGGGAGTAGGGGGAATCCTACAATCCTTTCCCCATTGATATTGGGCATGACTACATGAACGTATACTGTTAAAAAAAAGTCAACAGCAGGAACTAAATTTCGTTCAAGTAAATAGCTACTGAATGCTCTCTTTTTTTAACCAACTACAGAGAAAGATTTCTAGTTTCAAGAAGATTGAAAAAAATTATACAACTCAGAATTTACTTCAATTATAGAAAAAGCATCAACAGCATCCTTCTACAATACAATAGAAAACGGAAAGTATCAATTCAAAGTGTAATCAATCATCTCTGTCCACAAAGGACTATTAAAAGAGAAAGAAAGAGCCGGGCACAGGTGGCTCATGCCTGTAATCCTAGCTCCATAGAAGGCTGAGATCTGAGTAGTTAGATGGTTCAAAGCCAGCCAGCCAGCCAGGGCAGGAAAGTCTATAAGACTCTTATCTCCAATTAAACACCCAAAATCTTGCAAGTGGTGCTGTGGCTCAAGTGGTAGAGTGCTCATCTTGAGCTGAAGAGCACAGGGACAGCGTCCAGGCCCCATGACCAACAACAACAAAAAAAATTAAACACCAAAAATCTGGAAGTGGAGCTATGGCTCAAGTGGTAGAATGCTAGCCTTGAGCATAAAAGCTTAGAGACAGCATCCAGGCCCTGAGTTCAAGCCCCAGGGCCAGCACAAGAAAGAGAGAGAGACAGAGAGACAGAGACAGACAGACAGAGAGGGAAAGAGGGAAAGGGGGGACCTGGCATGTAATAGGTAGATGCTTATAACATCACCTACTTGGAAGGCAGAGACAGGATGATCTCAAATTTAAGGCTAGCTCTGGAAAAGTTAAGGAGACCCTATATTAGAAACACAAGGCAAAAACAAACTAATAGCCAAAAAAAAGCAAAGGGCTGTGGATATGGCTCATTCAGTTTATCTAGCAAACACTTGGCTGCATCATCCAGCGTGGTGCAAATACAGAAGGAGGAGGAGGAGGAGGAAGACTGTATTCTTGTGTCAATTCACTCCACAAAACAGCACCTAAGTGCCTCTGACACAGGCTAGAGCTATCTCCTGGAACTCCTTACCCGAACAGTCTTCCTTACACATTGTTTATAAATAGTATCTCCAACTTCAAGCATAAATTCTTAAGATTCACAATGGTAGGAAACTTTTTCACTCTAGAAATCCTGCCACTTAGACTTGAAACATTCACCGTCCATTGAAACATTCACCCACTCACCAGCTCCTTCTCCAGAAGGTATGATAACGTCTATAGCAGTTTGCTAAGGATACAAATGAAACTGCCCCGAAAGGGAACAAGGGCAGCAGGGCACCAGTGGCTCGCTGCTGTCATCCACGATACTGAGGAAGTTGAAACCCAGTAGATCTAGGTTCAAAGCCAGCCAGAACAGAAAAGTCTGAGAGACTCCTTTCTCCAACTAACCAGCAAAATTCTGGACTGTAGGTATGCCTCAAGTTGGACAGTGCCAGCCATGAGCAAGAAAGTTGAGCAAGAGTACAAGTCCTTTAGCACACACACACACACACACACACACACACACACTCACGAGGTACAGGGACAAAAGGTAAGCTATCCTTATTCCGAGAGCCACTGGGGCACATGGTAGATTTCTCCACTTAGTGAGCCATTTGTAATTCCCTGGGAAGATGCCCATTACAAGAAAGGTTCGGCCCTGAGGCATACATATTATACTTGAAATATTTCTTCTAGCCCTGTCCATCTAGAAGTAGGCCTGGTTCAAGAAAACTGATTTACTAACAGAATGGAATGTTTGCTTAATCATTCATCCCTTAAATAAATATTTATGCATGCCTATTGTGTTTCAAATCTCATGCTAGAACAAAAGAGATATAATCCAAGGCTTTCAGAAGTTCACCGTCTAGTGGAGGAGGGAGAAACATTAAATACACACAAATACAAAACAATGTGAGGAATATAAGAAGTCAAATTAAGAACTCAGACCATACCTGAGTTCAAGATGGATTTGAGTTACCAGTGGAGAAAACATCTAGCCTTAGGGAGACTAGTGAGTCAAAAAAGCTCAGGTTTAAGTCAGACACTAGTGAGGCTCACACCTGTCATCCTAGCTACTCAGGAGGCTGAGATCTGAGGATCAGGGATTGAAGCCAGCCAGGCAGAAAAGCCTGTGAGACTCTTCAATTAACCATCCAAAAAGCCAGAAGTGGAGCTGCAGCTCAAGTGGTAGAGTACTAGCTTTGAGTAAAGAAGTTCAGGGACAGCACCCAGGCCCTGAGTTCAAGCCCCAGGAATGCCCCCCCCACACACACACACAATCTCAGGTGCTCAGGTTTTTGAAAAGATGTCAATGTGCGAAGTCATTCTAGCCGTGCCCTGGTGAGCCGGTCCTCCCTGTCCCCAGAAGACTTTTCAGCTGGCACTGCTGCTCCTCCCGGTGAGGTGGAATCTACTTCTCCACTCATTGACCATGGGAAACTGCACAAGGTTGCACAAAAATAAAGACATTTCTAAATGACTATTCTAATGGCAGCAATCAGACTGAGAAAGTCACTCATCTGCAGGCAGGAGTCATTTCCCACTGAAATGAGAGGAATGGGAAGAGTTGATCATGTGCCCAGTTGGATCCTACAGTTGCCGGGGACCAGTGATGTCTCCGTGTGCGCATCCTTCCTCCTTTTGTTGAGGAGGTCAGTTGGCCACGATTGAGGGCTGGGTGTGTAGGGGGCAGAGAACATGTCATTTCAATTCAAAGGTCTCTAGATTAAGAGATGAAAAACAAAGTCTCTCACTTGGACCAAATGTATATCACGGCAGCCTAACAGGCTAAAGCTTGGGGAGTGGTAGGGATGGGGTGTTGGAGCATGTAGGAGAACTAGAAAAATAAAGTGACAAATGGCTAGACTCTAACCAGCCACAAATTCTTCCCATCTCTTCCCATCAAGAGCCTAAGGAAGAAGGGGGTCTGTTTTCTTGTCATTAAGCTTTAATGAATCAAACATTAAAAATTTTACCAACAAAAGATCAGAAGGAAAGAATCTTTTCTTGTCACTTAACAACCGTAAGGATTGGCATCCATCAAGACGCATTATATTCATAAATTGTTTTATCAAGGCCTTTGTACAAAGCTAATGAAAATAATTTTTTAAAGAGCATGCTTTTCTTGTCACCTGAAAACTATAAGGATTGAGGAATGACGAGAATGATGTAAAGCTGAACAATACGAACCATTTGTATTATCGCCACGTGCAGCCTGGCTTCTTCTATTAAGACTTCATCTGTTGGAGACATCTCTTTCTCACCCTGGGACACGTGTGAAAACTGAGCCGTTTCAGACTACATTTTAAAACACGAAGAGATGAAGTAAAAAAAAAAATTAAGTAAACGCGATGACAAATTCTTCTCCAAGCCTCTCCATGCTTGGCTGCTCTCTGAATCAGTCCATGTTTCCGAATTTTCACAGTACTGATAAAACAGAGATCTTTCCATATCTCAGCCCTTTGGAAATACCATGTCAGTAGACACGATTGACAGTTACACAATCAGCCAGTCAATATAAACTTCCAGTCTCCTGGCATTCGACAAATAAGGCTGATCACCATAATCCTCTCTGTCTCTGTCTCTATCTCTCCTTCTCTCCCTCCCTCCCTTTCGTTCTCTCTCTCCCTCTCTCTGTGCTTGTCACGGACACTGTCCATGAGCTTCTTCTGCTCAAGGCTAGTGCTGTACCACCTGAGTCACAGCTCCACTTCCAGCTTGGTTGTTGTTGTTGTTTATTGGAGATAAGAGTCTCACAGACTTTCCTGCTTGGGCTGGCTCAGATCTCCTGAGTAGCTAGGATCGCAGGCGTGAGAAACAGAGACAAGAGTTCAAAGAAATAATTTCATTGAACTAGCAAAGCTAATAAATAAGCCTCTCTGTTTTTATTTAGCAGAACCACAGTTTTGTGGGTTGTTGTTGTTGTTTTTAATATGAACTCAGGCAAAACAAGAAAGACCAAGGAAGGAAAGAAAGACTACAGATAGTTTAACCAAGTATCCACTCACAGGAATGTATTTAATCTTTGCTTTTCTTTCTACCACACTCCAATTCACATTTGTCAAAAGTTTTTCTGTCTTAAATAACGTTATCGTGTTCTGGATGATCTCCTGGATGTGCTGGATGGCGTTTTCCATGGCCATTTGTCTTGGTAGAGTAATAGCACATAGACCTGTGGGAAAGAAAAGCAAGGGTCTGAGCAGAACTCTGGCTCCAGCTCCCGGCTCTCTCAGGCTAATCTGGGTTTTCCCTACAGAATGTGTCTACTTGTGATTTTATTATAAACAAGTCAACTTTCCTTTTTTTTTTTTTTTGCAGTTGTGGGGCTTGAACTCTGGGCTTGGGCACTGTCCCTCAGATCTTCAGCTCAAGCAAGTGCTCTACCACTTGAGCCACAGTGCCACTTCTGGTTTTCTAGTGGTTTATTGGAGATAAGAGTCTCTCAGTCTTTCTTGCCCAGGCTGGCTTTGAACCTCTATCCTCAGCTCACAGATTCCTGAGTAGCTAGGATTACAGGCGTGAGCCATGGGCGCCCGGCTATCCTTTCAGATTTTTAAACTGTTCCCATTCACGATATTATTGTGGTTATAGAGAAATATCAGGCTCAGGTTCCTTTTAGGACTAAGTCATTGTGTCAGAGCCTGGGGATTGACTCCCAATATCCAGTCTTCCCTTCCTTTCATCAACAGAATCTCAGTGTTCTGGGTAAGCATATAGACAACTGAAGAAATATCATATGGGCCATATGGGCCCATATAATCAAGTCCCAGATAATGGAATATGGGTGGAATATGTAAGTTCTGAATTGTCCCGTTCAAAGGAAGCTGCTTAGGCTCCATCCCCAATATCTCTTTTTTAGTTCACTGGATTGTAGACATGGTGGCATTAAGCAGTCTTCTACCTTGCAGACAAGAAAAATATCTTAGGGAATGGAGGAACAACAAAAGACAAAGAACCTGAGCCTTTGGACAGTCTAAGATAACAGAACTATCCCTCTCTTCCAGACTTTTCAAAGAAGTGAAGTCCTAAGTCTCACTTCATTTCCCTTGAACTAGCTGAACCAATATCCCAATTGGCACAGCATCTATATATAATGAGTGAATAAGAATAAATGATTTCTCAGTCCCTTGAACTCCATAAGAGTTGTGTGAACCCCAACAGCAACCTAGTTGTATTTTTCCTCCATAGTTAATTACTGAATGTGTATACACCTTACCTAATGTTCTAGCTGACTCGATCATCATGTATGAGTTTATTCCCATAGTCAATAATGTTATTACTTGCACATAGAATAAAATCTGAAAACAAGGCATACAAATGGTTAGAATCAAAATAATAAGCAGGCATTGTTCATACCAACAAAATTCTACCCCGACCAACATATATATGTATATATAACCCTGTCTCTGATAAGTTGAAGCAAAAGGCTATTTTATGAATACTGACTGAACATATTATCCTGGAACAGAAACTGTCAATCTGAGCAAGGAAAAAAAATGATCATGCGATTCTGAGAGGAAGATACTGAGAAAAGAACTTTCCAGATTTTCCAGCAACAGTCATGTGAGGCTAGCAAGGAAGCCAGCCCAGACAGAGCTGTGGAGCCTGTGGAGCCATACGCAGGACAGAACTGTCGCCTGTCACCAGTGTGTATCATGGTTTTACAAAGGGCCCTGATGGAGCAGACAGGATGGGTTTGAGGGATCCGAAGAGGCACCACACACAAGAAAACCATATGAAAACAACATGGTCCTATTTGCCATATGGTTTCAGGTCAGTTTTCAGTGTCCTCCACTGAAAAATGGAATAAATAGCAATATCTTCTCCAGTGTCCCCACATAGACAAGTTCTTCTTCTGTTGCTCAAGGCTAGTGCTCTACTACTTTCAGCCACAGTGCCTCTTCCAATTTTCTGGTTAATTGGAGATAAAAGTCTCAAGGACTTTCCTCACAAGGCTGGCTTTGAACTGTGATCCTCAGATCTCAGCCTCCTGAGTAGCAAAACCACAGGCTTATTTGAACTTCAAATTAACTCCAACCAGGACCCACAGCCATAAATCTTAATAAAAGAGGTAGGAGGTATGTGATATTCCATCAAGAAAAGGCAATGTTCCTCTTTGGAGAGTTCTTTCCCGATCCTGCTACATGCGAAGCTGTTTCTTTGATTTCTCCACATGCAAGAAGAAGAGGTTGATAGTTGTTCCCCAAAAAAGATAATGTATTAAACAAATGCTATCCTCCTTTGGCCTTCTGGGACAGGAGCAAAGTAGTCAAGAAGGGAATCTGTTGGACGGTAAATCAGATAGTACCTGGATATCTGGACATCTACATCCAGATTCCCCGGGAAGTGTGAAGATAAGTGACAGTATATATTATGCAGGTAGTTTTCTCCCTCCCACTGGGGCAGGTTTTAGATTCATCTGACTGGAAAGTTGCAAAAAGCTAGTCTGGGGAATTTCTAGCAACTTCTCTACACAATACTGTCACAAATGATGGGTAAGTCCCAAAGCCTGGGGTTGTAACTCAGTGGTAAAGTGCTTGCTTAGCAGATGCAAGGCTCTGGGTTTAATCGTGTACACTATGAAAACGGACAAATGATGAGGGGCTCTAACACTGCCAGCAGGTGCACTGGGCTCTGTAGCTCTTGCCTGGAGTGTTAGTACCACACAAGCTTCATGACTAGACAATCCAGAAACCTACCAGCTAGCTCAGGAGGTAGAGGCTTCAAGAAACAAGTTGGAATTTTGTTAGGGGACGAAGGGTAGGTTTTTTTCCATGGACCACTTAGAAAATGTTTTAATGATCCCTGAAATCATAAATATAACAAAATCCTTGTGATAGGATGTAACAACTTACAAAAATTCCTCTTCCGTTGGCACAGTAAACTAGCATTTCCATTTTTTTTTTTTGGCCGGTCATGGGGCTTGAACTCTGGGCCTGGGTGCTGTCCCTCAGCTCTTCAGCTCAAGGCTAGCACTCTACCACTGGAGCCACAGCGCCACTTCAGGCTTTTTCTGCTTATGTGGTGCTAAGGAATCGAACCCAGGGCCTCATGCTTGCAAGACATGCACTCTACCGCTGAGCCACCTTCCCAACCCCAGCATTTCCATTTTTGTTCTAACAGCTATACAATTTGGAATGCTCTCCATAAAGATTATTTTTTTATGCCTCCTGACAGCTATTGAAACCTTGCATCCCTGTGCTCAATAAATAATATTGATTTATTCAACAATGAATATTGAATAAATCAATATATTCAGCAATCTTCATTGTTGAATAAATCAATATTATTTATTGTTGAATAAATTTGTTGAATAAATAATGTTTATCGAGCATTTATGAAATGTCAGGTATTTTACTAAATGTCATCTTAATCTTCAACAGGGAACTGAGCAGCAGCAAAGGTAAAAATTTTCCCAAGGTGAAGGCAAGGGTAGAAGCCACATCCGTCTTACATCACTATCCATAACTACTCTATTACCTGGTCCCCTTCATGCTGTCAACACAGATAAACCTTTTTCTGAGTTCCAATCTACTTCAAAGAACGCATTTTTTAAATCGAGGCCAAAAGTGGTTAGCTTTATTATTGGATGTGGTGACACATGCCACAAAATGAGCAAAGATGAACCATCATGACACCTTCTTTTCCCTACCATATGTGGTGCCTCTTCTTTGTGTTCAGCCAGATTATAAATATCAGGAGCCAAGAGTAAGCTGAAAATTCCTCTGATTCCAGACCAGGTGAGAACGACTCCCCACCGCCAATTATACTCATAACTTGAGTGTATCAAAATCGGGCTCACTAAGATAATAGTAAGCCACCTGTGGGCAGACAAACATTAAAAATAAATAAACCAAGCCGATGTGTTAATCATTATTGAGACAATGCACTCGGTGCTAAATTTCATATTAAAATTTTCAAGCAAGACAAGGCATTGCATCAGTGTTCATTGATGTCATTCCAACTTTCCAGTGAATGAAATCTACTGGCTACATTTTGTGTAAGACCTAAAAATTAATGTTAGAGCTGGACGCTGTTTTCTTGCTAGCTACTCAGGAGGCTGAGATCTGAGGATTACAGTTCTAAGCCAGCCCAAGTAGGAATGTCGGTTAGACTCTTATTTTCAATTACACACCCCAAAAGCCATAAATGGAGCTCAAGTGGGACAGTATTAGCCTTAAGCACAAAAGCTTGGGGGCAGTGCCCAAGCCTTGAGTTCAAGCCCCAGGACCAGCACAAAAAACCCAACATACAAAAAAAGCTGTGTAAAACAAATGTTTACATATAATTACCTGACAAATATCACTGTTACAAACAAGATGAAAACGAAAGCTACAGTGTAAAATCTAAAATACTTGATTTCTCCACATCCAACCACAATGCCAAAGAAAGTATATATTAAATGTTCATATACAGATGAAAACATTGTTAGGAACCTGAGATGAAGAAAAAGAAATTGACATTTTAAGTAATGTATTTTTAACTATTTTTTTCATATAAAAGCATTTGTAGCTGGCTCACATCTGTAATCCTAACTACTCAGGAGGCTGAGAGCTGAGAATGGCAGGTCAAAGCCAGCTGGGTCTGGGAAATGCGTAAGACTCTTATCTCTAACTAACCACCAGAAAAACTGGAAGTGGAGCTGTGGCCCAAAGTGGTAGTGTGCTAGCCTTGCGCAGAAAGAGCTCAAAAACAGCACCCAACCCCCGAGCTCGAGCCCCATAACCAACAAGTTAAAAATTATTTGTGCTATAGCTATCATTATTGTCTCTTGAAGGCCCCTGCCTTCCGTGAGCTTACAGTTAACAGGAAAATGTATTTTTTGGTTTTGATTTCACAGAATCTACCTCATGATCCTCATCACATCAAACCCATGGGCTGCCTTTCCTAACAGAATAGCAAGTGCAAAGTAAGCAAATAAAGACCTCTTCAAGCTGGTGACTTACCAACTTCTCTGGAATTTCCAGGCACCTTATCAACTGTCTAATCTGTCCAACTAATCCCAAGCTGGGGTGACAGCTGATTAATTTTGTGTAATAGATATATGACCACCCAATACCCTGCTGTACGTCACGTTGCATAGTCTCTCCAGTCTGCTAGCTCGTTGATAGTATTCCTAAATCTAACTCGAATCTCATCATTCTCCAGGAAGACATCCTAAACAGGCTAACTGGATGGGGTCCTCTGGCATCTGTCTTGCTGTCTGCACCACTCCCATTCGCCCCGCCTCCCAGAGCAGCAGGAGAATGCACTGGAAACTTCTAGATTGGTTTCTAAGAATCTGTATACCCAGCCCAGGAACACAGTGGCCATGGTAGGGGCCAAAGTCTGGGCAGGGTGCATGTTCTGTTCTGTCTGGTTCTGGGTGCTAGCCTGTGTGAGTCAACCTGACTTCAAGAAGATCCTAAGTTGCACCTCCTCTCAATTTCCCATCTGTGACTTTCTCCTGCGGCTTCTCTGCCCCATAGACTAGTCTCCCTATGAGTGAGCTCTAAGATCTGCACCTAGAAACACTAAGAGGCCTCATTTTAGCTACAGTTAAGCAGTGTTCTCTGATCCAGCCTTAACCCAGACAAGTACAGCACGATTCTCCAGGTGTTTCCTATCTCTTGCTGCAACTCACTGTCAACTCTGACAGGGAATGGACCTGAATGGGGGCGGGGGGGCGGGGCGCAATCCAACGCTCACTCCTTAACTTTCAGATGTCATGGAAAAACCAATGAGTTAAAATGCTTTTTAAAAAATCTTTCCACAAGACACAAAAAAGCCCTGCATTTTCCCATATCTATCCTTAGTAAGTCATACGTATGTGTATGCCATTTAACAATGAGCATATTCTGAAAAGTGCCTTGTTCCCATACATCCAAAACTAAAAGGCAATATCCAAACCACAGCACACATTAAGAAAGGATTGGTGGAATGTGTGAAGGGGTAAACAATGAATAAGATCATTAACACTGATGCGAATCAGAGGAAAATGTCTTGTGCAAATCCAACCATCTATTTCACAAAATAGTTGTTATTCCCAAACTTGTACATTGTTAAAAATCTGTTGTGGGCTTGAACTCTGGGCCTGCTCACTTTCCTCGAGCTCTCTCACTCAAGGCTAGCACTCTGCCACTTTGAGCCACCGCTCCACTTGTGATTTTCTGGTGGTTAATTGGAGATAAGAGCCTCACCCACTTTTTTGCCTGGGCTGACTTTGAACTGTGATTCTCAGATCTCAGTCACCTGAGCAGCTACAATTACAGGTGTGAGCCACCAGCGCCTGGCCCACATTTCTAAATTTTAAAACCCAATAAAGCAGTATTCACATACACACTAAGCTATGATAGTTATAGGTATCAATTTTGTTCTATTTTTTAAGTTTTACCCATGTAGGACCATCTTCTATCACTGGAATATCACAAAAGAAAGGAATTAGTAATTATCAAAAAAGTCAGAAGGACATAATTTCAGGGCAATATTAGTATTTTATACTAAATAAATTTTCATAAGAAAAGTTAGGATTGTTTTTATCAGTTCAAATGTTTGCTTTTATCTGATGTATTTCTACACTAGATTGTGATTTGATGTCCACTGATTCTGAAATTATTCTGAAATTTGTCATGAAAAGCCTAACATTTTTTATCTAAGAGACAGGCAATGGTTTTACCCTTTCTGAAGCTTTTCTTTCTTTTTTTTGTGTGTGGGGGGGAGGGGGTCCGTCGTGGGGCCTGCACTCTGGGTCTGGGCGCTGTCCCTCAGCTCTTCAGCTCAAGGCTAGCGCTCTACCACTTGAGCCACAGCGCCACTTCCGGCTTTTTTCTTTTTGCTTATGTGGTGCTGAGGAATCGAACCCAAGGCCTCATGCATGCAAGGCAAGTGCTCTACCACTGAGCCACCTTCCCAGCCCCAAGCTTTTCTTATATTATGTTAAATGCTGTCCTATATTATGGTACTATTAATTATTTCCATAACTTAGCAACTTAAATAATTTAGTTAAAGAAATAAAAGGAAAGGCATTTATCTTTTAAATTCACAATTCAAAGTATAACTCTAGTCAAAGGTTTTCTAATAACAACAACAAAAACCTGAGTCACTGTAACTTTCCTCATAAAAGCAATAGCAATTAATGTTGTTATTTGTTGGTACCTTAAGTTCTTTACAAATGTAACTGAAAGAAAAATTGAAAATGTAAAGGTAAATATTAATGTGAGTTTTGTGGAGGAAAATAAGCCATGCTCAAAAAGCCAGATAGCCTATTCTATGCATGTAAACTAGCTCTGTGATGGTTGATGCTGATGCTGATGCTGATGATGCTGATGATGCTGATGCTGATACTGATAGGACATGAGTGCTAAAGGAGGAAGAGCCTGTGAGAAGAGAGTAAGGGGGAAGAGGAAGGAGGGGTTACGAGGAGTAGCGAGGAGGATGAAAGTATGTTACACGCATGTGCATTTGTTGTTTATGAAGACAGAATAATAAATATACATGTATACTCAAAAACAGCTTTCAGCCGGGCGCTGGTGGCTCACGCCTGTCATCCTAGCTACTCAGGAGGCTGAGATCTGAGGATCGCGGTTCAAAGCCAGCCCAGGCAGGAGAGACCGTGAGACTCCTATCTCCAATAAACCACTAGAAAACCGGAAGTGGTGCTGTAGCTCAAGTGGTAGAGCGCTCGCCTTGAGCTGAAGAGCTGAGGGACAGCGCCCAGGCCCAGAGTTCAAGCCCCACGACCGACAAAAAAAAAAAAAAAACAGCTTTCAAAAGAACATTTTATTGGCATTCACAAAGGCAGGCCTCTCCGAAGTACTAAATACCAATTATACCATACAGAACAGGAAACTTACTTAGTAATTATGAACTCCATCTTCGGTTTAAAGCTTAAGGAATCTAAATTCAGTCCCACAGTGACCAAAGCAACGATGCCTGACATTCCAAGAAGTTCCACTGAGGAGAGGGGGGGAAAAATGAATAAAATTAAATATATTTCAGCATGCACCTTATAGTACTTTATTTTGAGTGAGGAATTGGTGCGAAACTGGAGAGTAGTACTTCCTCCTTAGAAAGTTGTTCCAGGAGATTGGCCTGTAACCCAGGGACCAGCACATTTTCTATCAGGGGACAGACGGTGAACAGCCAGTCTTTGGGGCTGGTATGTCACCTGTCACCACCACCTTACTTAATTGTTGTGGTGCAAAACCAGTTATAGATAAAATGTCCAATGAGACTATTCATAGACACTAGAATTTGGAAATCGTGTGTCACAAGACATTGTTCTTTTGTTGTGTTTTCTAAGCCATTTTAGAATGAATGTAAAAGCTATTTTTGACTAACAGTCCATGTAAAAACTAAGCAGACTTGGCCTAGTTTGACAAGCCTACATTATCACTGAGGATAAGGCTTCTGGAAAAATAACTTTTGTAGTCTCTGCTCTGCACTTCAGGGACTTACACTACACATGACCCAAACTCAGGGCTGACTACAGTCCAGAAACCCCCTTCGCTTTTGCCTGAAACCGTCATTCATTGGGCTGGAAATACACGTGTAAGTGCAGTTCTGAGGCAGGAAAAAATGTCGGAATACAAAGCATATCAAGTCTTCATATAGAGTATTGTCAACAGCAAAAAGGAAAGGGAGAAAAAGAGCATGAAAGGTTAGACAACAAAGAACTTTGGAACAGATGAGTGGTTGCTTTTGGCATGCCACCTGCCCTTCCTCCCCTGTATCCTGTCATCTATAAAATAGCTGTAAAAATTAGCTGTCATTGTCAAAATTAAGTCAGATACAATGAACACAGTTTGACAAGTTTGTGCAACAATGGCTAAAATGACCATCATGGTGATGCTATGAGTTCTTTTTATCTGTTCACTTTATTGTGTAGCAATTCTTCCTCCTAATGCTTAGTACTTATCCATATTGTTTATGAAAGAAGATTTTGTCATTCATTTATCTTGGCACTTACATTCACTTTAGACTTCTTTTTATCTACTTCTTTAAAGTGAATTTCATTTAAATAACCAGTGACAGTAAAATCAGTAGTGCTAGAGCCTGTGTTTATAGGAACAGTAGCTCTCAAAATCTTATTTTTAATTCTTTATAATTAGTAGATCCTAGGTTTTAAATACATTTTTGGTGAACTCTTTATATATTTATTTTTGCTGCACCATAAAGACAAGAGCTCTACCATTTGAGTCACTGCCCAGTCTTTTGGCAAACATCTGCTTTGAACTGAGCTGAACTGATTAAGCTTTTGAGTGGCATAGCCAACTGAGCATACAGAATTGTATGTCAGTACCAGGAACCTTCTAATGTGGAAAGATGTGAGCAAAGACCCTAAGGAATCCCATTCTTCCCCCTCTGCCTTCAACTCACACCCATTTGCATCTGCCCATGAGCATGACAAGAGCCTCCATTTCTAGAAAGAGAGGGGAGAGCAAAAACTGTTGACTGACTGCTCTGCGTTGAACCCACTGGTGTGCTAGAAAATGCTTACTATCAACTCTCTGGGGATTGGTGGTATCTTCCTATATCCACAGTGTAACGGTTACCACCATGACCTATTTCTAGCTACCAACATGAGGCCACTTGAATAAAGGTGGAAGGAGATACCTATGATCAAGTGCAAACCCCTAAAAGCTGTTTCCATCGCGCCGGCAATAAGCCAGTCACGCCACTCACATGACCTCATTAATGCCTACCAGGCCCTCTATTAATTAGGTACTATAATAACACTGAAGAAACTGAAGCTTAGAGAGATTAAATAATTTTCAAAGGACACTAAACTGATCCAATGTGGAGCTGGGATTTGAACACAAATCTGCCTAACCCCAGAGCCCTTTCAAAGGTGAATGTTAGTTTATTCAACCAACAAGTCCTAAATTGCTATCAGGCTCATTGCAAACCATGAGGAGAGGAGAGAACAAGTAGAATAATGAGTAAGAGGCAGCCTCCACCTGGAGGAACTGTCTGCTGAGAAGTAGAAAGACTACATGAAAGCTTTCTTGGCCAGGAGTCAAGTAAGTTGCAAATTGGCAAGACTGATTTTCCATTCAAGCCTGGCATCAGTTCAACTCAATCAGAACCTTAGGAGAAGGGCAGAGGAAATAACATGCTCCGTGAGAAGGGCAGGTTTAGACTCCGAGCACCACAGAGAAAAATTGTAAAAAAAGAGAGAAATTCTGTGTGTGGGTTGCAGGATTTACTTCTATCAAATTTAAAAGGAATTACAAGTTAACATCAGAAAACAGTAAAACTGAAAACTGAGGGGGGGGGCAGACAGGCAGGCAACTAAATTAAAACTTCTTTGTCAAGATTTAAGGCATCATAAATGCTTCACAAAAGATAAGTAGAAATGCATAAAGTCAAAAGAAATGAAAGATCAGTGAACGTTCTCTATAATTTTGCTGATTCAAGAAGCAACCCGCCCCTAGATAGCAGTTTAGATGTCGAGGGAAAGCAGGGGTTTTCCATAACTGGAGGTGGAAAGAGAAGTTATCCCTTGATACCTGAGATCTTTCATGAGTAAAAGTTGCTCTCCTAAGTAAGATGCGATCAAAAGGAGAAGAGGATCACTTGCACATAGTTATTATGGCTCTTAGAAGCTGGCTATCTCAGCCTGGCCAGTAAATACTTCAATCCCCAGTTTAACAGGACTAAAGTAGGTGATGATGGTTCATCAGGGCTCTTGCTCCTCTTACACATATATATAATCTATATCTATATCTCCTTTCTCTCCTCCTTTCCTGCCTCCCATGCACAGGAAAAGGCCACTATTTCAGCATCATCCTTGTTCACTGCTCATAGAATTAAAGGCTGGTAAGGAAAAGACCTTAGGAGATCTCTCTGAACGTTCTCATTTTACAGATTGGGTGTGGGGGGAGTGTTTATAGTCAGAGCTGAGATGAACTCCATGTTGATTCCTCTTCTAGGGAACTGTCAGTGAGTACTGATGAGATCAAAGAAAAGAGTAATCACAGAGATGAGAGCAGAGTAGAAGAGTCAGGGAGCTACCATAAAGAAACCAAGGGGTGCCAGAAAAGACTGAGAGGCCACAGCAGTGTATTCTGACAAGACACAGGGGAGGCTCCAGAAAGGCAACGCTGTTGGGAAGAAGTGAATGTAGTCAGTAGAAGGACATAGTCCAGATGTGTACAAATATGCTTGGAGAGCAGCATTTTTGTCTTTGTCCCTGTCTTACCAATGTAGAAAGTCATGTACACCATGGAAAAGCAGAGGATGACATTGGTGAGTGTGTTGCTGAAAAGGTCTGTCAATATACACTGGATGACCCTGGCACAGCAGTATCCACAGATGATGCTCCCGACGATGTCCAAGGCGAGTCCCATGACGACATGTAACTCTAAAAAAGAAAGAGGAAAGAGAAAGTAGAAAACAAGGAAGGGAGCTATAACTTTCTTTTTCTTTCTTTCTTTGGAGAGGCAGTACCAGGACTTGAACTCAGAACCTCGTGTTCTTGCTTAGTTTTGCATTTGAAGCTGACACTCTTATCACTTGAGGCACACCTTTACTTGGATTTTTGCTAGTTACCTGAAGATCAGAGATTCTCGGATCTCTCTGCCTCGCCTGGCTTTCAACCATGATCCTCAGATCTTAGCCTCCTGAGTAGCTAGGATTACAGGTAGGTGAGCCACCAGCACCTGGCTGGGCTCTTTTATTGATGGCATTTTGTGTGGCTTACCAGATGACAGCGTTCCCAGCTGGGTACGAGGACTCTCTTGGGATAACTTTTCTCTTTGGTCTGCAACTTGAGGTTTACTTGGCCAGGGAGGGAAGATTCAAATGTTTTCAGGAAGCAGACAAAGAGCATATATGTGAAATCAAATGTGAAAGCCAGGTGACAGATTGAAGAGAGAATATCCAAGCAAAAAAGCATCCACGGTTGGCTTGATCGCTCAGTGGTAGAGCTTGTAGCTAGCATGGTTGAGGCCCTGATTTGATCCCTAGCATAAAATTTAAAAAGACAATCAAATTCAATTTTTTTTTCAAGAAATCAGTTTGTGGCCTTTCTCCCCAGCCCAGGGGGCTTTTGGGAAATAGATTTTAAAACATCATCAGTCACAGTAACTGGAGGCTACTTAAGCATCGGGATAGTCCAATGTGAGTGCTGAGGGAACTCAGATTACAGGTGTGAGCCATGGGGCCCAGCTATATCTTCTTTATCTTCTAATAGTATGTCTGGAAATCTAACAAAGCAACACATTCAACTGGCTCAAATCTAAGACCACATCAATTCTTAAAATCCACTCACTGAGATCCAGATTGATTCAGGAAAGAGGAAAATCTAAGCCAGATGATGCAATTGTGCATGCACGTACACACGCATATATGTACACTGAGGGACATGAAATCATTTTTTTAAACTCGTTTGCCTTTTAGTATCCAAGTAAACATAAGTTGTATTTGCTCTCTTATTACCTGATATTCTAATTAGTCCAAGAGTAAAGTATAGAAAGGCAGTAAGGACATCGTCAATGCAGCTTAATTTCAATAACAATGATTTTAGAAAACATATCAACCAAAGTATGTTCTTACCTCTAAACATGGAAGTATGCAATGAGTAGCCCCGAAAAATTCCAAAAAAGATGGCTGTGACACTACAGATGATCAACGATTCTCCTCTGATGATATCAATATACATTTTAGAAATACCTGGAAAAGGAAATACAAAATGTAATTAAAGGTGGTACATGAAAATGGTATATTTGGACATGAAGCTGAAAGGAAGGGGAAGGGCACGGTGGGGAAGGGAAGGAAGGAGAGAAAAGAGAAGAGGAAGGGAGAGGAGGGAGGGGAAGAAGAAGACAGTCATGACAGGGATAGGTTTGTAAGACGATCATAATCACCATGGCTGGCTTTTTCATTTCTACATTGTACCTTCTGAAAATTCAGAGGCAAAGGGATAAAGCAGTAGCACTTTAAGTACCTATGGCCTCAGTCCCTGAGTGATCCAATCAAGGTGAGCTAATAGAAATGGGGTTAGGGAACAGAACATCACCACCAAAAGTGTCCAAGGCTGCCGATGTTGTTCCAGCTATAGGTAAAATGGGTATAAATGCAGGCGTGAGTTTGGATCTTTCATACTCATTCATAGGGCAATATATTTCCTCTAAATAAAACCCGTACCTTACAGTTGGTTAGAAAAAATGTTTCGGAGTCAAAAAAAAAAACAAACAGAAACCATAGCATGCAGCCACTTCGTGAATTTATTGCAGTGTGGAATGAAATGCAGCGATAGAAGAATATCTCAGGTAAACTCATCCCTCGCTCCACCCTAACCAAAAGATGAGAAACGGACAAAACCACAAACTCTGTTGGGAATAATCTTTTCTCGAATACGTATAATTTGAGAATAAGACTATTTTCTTACCTTTCTTTTCTTTGAAGTAAAAAACAACAACCCTACAACTTACCCAACCTTGGCTCCTCAAATAATGGTAGCAGTTCCAAGGAGCATTTTCAAGAAAAGGCTCATTGAAGGGATTTTGATTTTCTCTCTGTGTGGGTAAATGGAGCCCTAACTTTACTTTGTAGCTTTAGCTTTTCTTTGTAAAGTCTTTACTTTGTAGCTCAGCATTTAGTGACACAGACTATGAATACAAGTTTCTGTCACCTTCTAGAAGAGTTACAATGCTCCTCTTGGAAACTGTGTGTGTGTGTGTGTGTGTGTGTGTGTGTGTGTGCACATGACAGTGAGTGAGAGCACACATGCACCAGATCTTGTGCTCTCATTTGACTTTTTCACTTTTATCTGGTATACTACCACTTAAGCCACATCTCCAGCTTTTTGCTTCATAATTGCAGCTAAGAGTCTCTCAAATTTGTCTGCCAGGACTGATTCTGACCCACAGCTCCCAGATTTCAGCCTCCTATGTGTTTAGGATTATAAGCATGAGCCACCAGCACCCTACTTGAAAACATCCTTTAAGGTTATAATTGACTCTATCTCACATCCTCATCTGTTCTGCCTTCTACAGATCATTAAGTCCTTTAACCTCAAGGGGAAAAAAGCACAGATTTCTACTCTGCCACATGTAAAACTTCTGTGAGAAAAGTATCACCCAAACCATGTATTCCCCCACAAAACATAATAACGTACTCCCTTATCTCCAAGGTAAGAAAAATAAATCGGACATACCAATAGTTTTCATTGTGTTCACAGAATGAATAGGATCTGTAATGCCCAGGGTGATGCTAAAGAATAAGCAACACTGTATATCCCATGATTCCTTATTGAATTTCAAAACCACATATCCAATTACGATGAATGCTGTGCAAAAGCTTATCAACGCAGTTAACAGGACCTAGGAGCCAAGTCAAAACACAGCATTAGATTCGACAGCATGACTGCATTTACTTACATCCTGAGAATCACGTTTTTGTATCTATTTCTACTTTCTTGGGTTTTTTGGTTGTTGTTGTTGTTTGGTTTGGTTTTTTTGTCGGTTGTGGGGCTTGGACTCTGGCCTGGGTGTGGTCCCTGTGGTCTTCAGCTCAAGGCTAGCGCTCTATCACTTGAGCCACAGCACTACTTCCAGTTTTCTGCTGGTTAATTGCAGATAAGAGTCTCCTGGGGACTTTCCTGCCCGGTCTGGCTTTGAAAGGCTATTCTCAGATCTCAGCCTTCTGAGTGGCTAGGATTTACAGACCTGAGCCACTGGCGCCCAGCTACTTTCTTGGTTTTCATTGACATATAACAGTTGTACATATTCATGGAGTACAAAGCATACAGTATGTAGTCATCAAATTCAGGGCAATTAGCTGTCACTTAAAATGCATGGTTTCTTTCTGTGAAAACATACAAAATCCTCTGTTCTCTTCTGAAATACGGATATTGAATTCCTTTTTCTTTTTGGTTATTACTGGAACATAGGATAGCTCTATTTTTAAGTTCTCTGAAACCTTCTTACTGTTTTCCCTAATAGTTGTAATTATTTGCATTCCTACCAACCATGTGTTAAAAACCTTCCTTTTTCTACACCCTCATGAGCATTTATTTTTATCTTTTTAGAAAATGTTTTAATATAGTATTTTAATACTATTATAACACTACACTCAAATATAATGTGCTAACATGGATTAATATTCTAATTTAACATTAAAGCACAAATCTAACCCTCAGTCCAATCTAATATTCTAAGGCTACAAACCCTTCAACACATCATCTTTTATAGCATACTAATATGCTACAAAAGACACTGCTACAACATTCCAATCTAGGCTACTCACATAATAAAACATTTCTCTATTATTTGTATGCAAGTCTAACACAACACCATAAAATAATTGTCTAAGTAATTACTTTAATATCAGGGGTTTTTAATCTTTTTATATTAATATTCTAAAGGAAATAAGATGTTATTTCATTGTGGTTTTGACTCCTATTTCCTTGATGATAGTGTTGTTTTGATTTGGGGTTGTTTTTTGTTTTTTGTTTTTTGGCCATCTGTGTATCTCCTTTTGTAAAATGTCTATTCAGGTACTTTGGCTCATTGTTAATAGGACTGATATTGGGGGAAGGGGCTGCTTGAATTTGTAGTAGAAGTCTGCTAGACTGAACTGCAAAGCAATATTAGTGAAGAGTTAGAATAAGAAGATATCATAATTAACAAAACAATCTACTGAACAAATTTAAATTCCCTGTACTCAAAACTTTGAGAACACACATTTCTTGCAAGAGAAAAAGCAGGGAACTTTCAAAAACTAACTGATCGTGGAGAAGACCGGAGAGTAAATCTCCACAAGTCACAGGACTGGCTATACAAACTACAGTGTCTGATTACAATCTGATAGGAGGCACAATAAAAATGAGCCAGGTGTGTGTGTGTGTGTGTGTGTATGTGTGTGTGTGTCTTGAACTCAGGGCCTCAGTCTTGTGTAGCTTTTTTTGCCCATTGTTGGCACTTGACCACTTGAGCCACACTTCTGGCTTTTTGCTACTTAATTATAGATTAAATTCTCTTGTGCTTTTCTGCTTGAGCTGGCTTTGAACCAGGATCCTCAGATCTCAGCCTCCAGAGTGGCTAGGTTACAGGTATGAGCCATTGGCTTAAAATTCTTTAAATTCCTAATGTATAAAATTGAAAAAAAATAAATTTACAATTGATTACAACTGCTGGGTTTCACCCTTCAATATCTACTCTGGAGGTGGAGATTGGGAGGACTGAGGTTCAAAGCCAGCCCAGGCGTAAACATAAAACCCCATCTATATATCAATAGCTTGATACAATGGCATGCACCTCTCATCCTAGGTCGAAATCAGAGAGATAGCAGTTCAAGGCTAGCCCAGACATAGCTCAATCAATAGCTGGACACAGTGGCACACCTATGTCATTTAACTACATGGAGATACAAACAGGCAGATCATAACCCAGGCCAGCCTAGGCAAACACTGAAGACACTATTCAAAACGTACTGAAAGGGGCTGGGAAGGTGGCTCAGTGGTATAGCGCTTGCCTTGCATGCATGAAGCCCTGGGTTCAATTCCTCAGCACCACATAAGCAAAAAGAAAAAAGCCAGAAGTGGCGCTGTGGCTCAAGTGGTAGA